TTCTTTCTTTCTTTTTTTTTTTTTTTTTTAAAGGCTGTGTCTACCTTCTTGTACGTACTGGAAGTACAAGGGCTACTCACAGGCCTGGTCCCACCACTGATTGGCTTGGTAGTTTTGACCTGCTTCGGTTCTGATCTGGACCAATTTTCCCCTCCTTAGGTAACCTGGTGGCCCTCCCCAAGGGCTCACTGTATTGATGTGAAATTTAGTGCAAACACCAGATCTACGAAGGCCACTTGTAGCTCAGAACTCCTGGACTCAAGATCCAATAGCCTAGATCATGAAGCCCAGGTTCTAGGCCATGGCTACGATATTACTTAAAAAAAAAAACTATTCCCAAATTATTATACAGCATGCAGTTTCTCAGTCATTGAGAGAAATTGTCTGAATAAGAAAAGGTACCTTTCTGAGAACTTAATACTTCCTAAACTTTATTTGTTTTGCCTTGTGCTTTAGTGATAGCTATTTTCACCATTTTCCTACCTAATTCTCTTTTGTTAATTGAAGTTTTTAAAAATTTTATTTTTTAAAGCACAGAATCTTTATTTTTTTTTCTTCCTTTTTTTGGTTTCAAATTCTCTCCCTCCCCATACTGCCTCTTCCACCCAAGCTGGAGGCAATGGGAAAAAAAACAAACTTGTGAATATGTATAATCATGAACAACAAATTTTCACATTAGCTATAAAACAAGAAAGAATAAAATGCTTCAATCTGTACTCTGAGGCTATCAGTTCTCTCTGGAGGTGAATGACATGGGTCATTGTGTTGATCAGAGTTACTAAGTCTGTTAGAATTGATTACCTTTTTTAAAAAAGAATTATTTTTCTCAATTACATGTAAAAACAGTTTTTAATAATCATTTTTATAATTTTTGAGTTCTAAATTCCCTCCCTCCTTCCCCTACTTTGATATAGATTATACATGTGCAGTCTTGCAAAACATTTCCATATTAGCCATGTTGCAAAAGAAAACACAGATCAAAAAACTCCAAGAAAAATAAAGTTAAAAAAAGCATATTTCGATTTTATATTCAGACTTGTATCAGTTCTTTCTCTGGAGGTGGATAACATTTTTCATCATAAGTTTTTTAGAATTGTCTTGTATTATTGTATTGCTGAGAATAGCTAAGTCATTCACAGTTCTTCATATAGTGTTGCTGTATACAGCAATTTCCTGCCTCTGTTCATTTCACTTTGCAGTCAGTTTGTGTAAGTCTTCCCAAGTTTTTCTGAAATTATTCTGCTCATCATTTCTTATAGCACAATAATATTCCATCACAATCATTTACTACAGGTTACTCAGCCATTCTCCACTTGATGGGCATAACCCTCATTTTCCACTTCTTTGCTACCACTAAAAAAAACTGCTACAAATATTTTTGTAAATATGGGTCCTTTTCCTCTTTTCTTGATCTCCTTGGTGTATAAACCTCAAAGTGGTATTGCTGGGTGAAAAGATATGCACAGTTTAATAGCCTTTTCGGCATAGTTACAAGTTGCTTTCTAGAATGGTTGGACTAGTTCACAGCTCCACCAACAGTGCATTAGTGTGCTTATTTTCCCACATCCCTTCTAGCATATCATTTTCCTTTTCTGTCTCTTAGCCAACCTAATGGGTGTGAGGTGGTTACTCAGAGTTGTTTTAATTTGCATTTCTCTAGTTATTAGTGATTTAGATCATTTTTTCACATTGATATTGATAAATTGGATTTTTTTTCTTTGAAAACTGCTTATTCATATCTATTGACCATTTATCAATTGGGATAAGGCTTTTATTTTTGTAAATTTTACTCAGTTCCCTATATATTTGAGAAACGAGACCTTTATCAGAAAAAACTTACTTCAAAGATTTTTTTGCCCCAGCTTCCTGCTTTTTTTTCCTAGCTGCATTGGTTTTTGTTAGCGTAAATTCATTTTAATTTTATATAATCAAAACTATCCATTTTGCCTTCTGTGAACCTCCCTATCTCTTATTTGCTCATAAACTCTTGTCCATCCATAGATCTGACAAGTAATTTCTTCCCTGCTCTACCAGTTTGCTTGTGATATCATCATCTTAATCATGCACCTATTCATCTATCTTGGTATACAGTGTGAGATAATGATCCTTGCCTAGTTTCTGCCAGACTATTTTCCAGTTTTCTTGTTTGTCAAATAGTGTGTTCTTGCCCCAGTAGCTGAGATCTTTGGATTTATCAAATACTAAGTTACTGTGTTTATTTGCACCTGCATATTCCATATCTAATTTGTTAAGACCTCTATTTCTTACCCAGTACCAAATTGTTTTGATGATTACCGCTTAGTAGCATAGTTTGAGAGAGGCTCCCTTCCTCCCCATTTTTTTTCATTGATTTTTTTGATATTCTTGGCCTTTTGTTTCTCCAGTGAATTTTGATATTTTTTTCCCTAGTTCCATATAAAGTAATTCTTTGGTAGTTTGATTGGTATAGTACTGAGTAAGTAAATTTAGGTAGGTTTGTTATTATTGGCAATTATATTTTTTATATTGGCAATTAATATTTCCCCAATTACTTAGAGTGCTTTTGTAATTGTATTCATATAGTTCTTGTGTGTGTCTTGAGAGGTAGACCTCGAAGTATTTTATACTGGATTTCTCCTTCTATCTCTTCCTGTTTGCTTTTGTTGGTAATGTAGAGAAATGCTTAATGATTTGTGTGGGTTTGTTTGAAGTTAATTGTTTTGATTATTATCTAATTCTCTACCTCATTTTTTTTCCCCTTAAAAAACTGAAGCAGTTGGTATGCTGGCTTTAATATTCTTCACTGGTCACTTGGTAAATACCAGGTGATCGCTTCCTTCATAGTATTGAACCACATGATTATTACTGCATTTAAGGCATCCTGGAGCTTCCTTCTTAGGATACTTTATTGTTCCTATTCCTTTAATAGGATCAGAAATGGAAGGGTCAGGGTGGGGCATTGTATAATTAAAATAAGTGACATTCTTCTTTTTTGGTCCTAAGATCAGAGTAGATATGAGCATGAGTGTTTTTCATGACTAAGGGAGTCATGGAATCTGAGAGTTGGAGGGCCCTCAGAGGCCATCTTGTCCAACCCTTACTCCTCCTCTAAGGCTTTTCCTCTAAAATGAGTTGTCATTGAGTTTAAGCTTTAGGCTTTACAGGGAGAGTGAACCCAGTACTTCTCAGGGCAGTCCATTTTTCCCTTGCATTAGGACCAATCTTGGGAATAGTCATTATCTTGTGACCAAAATATTGTAAAGGAAATGGATTTAATGGGTAGGGTGATAATCAAATGCTAAAAAAGTCTTCAGGTGTCCTAACATAGTATTATCTTATAACTTAGTTATAATGTAGTATAATTTAGAATTATTACTAAACATTTATAGCTAGCATTTATATACAGCCTACTATGTGCTACACTAAACACTTTAAAATATCAAATTTATTCTCACAATTAGGTGCTAATATCCCCATTTTACAGTTGAGGAACCTGAGGCAAATAGAGGTTGTAGGCAAACAGGTTATGTAGCAAAAGTCTAGAGCCAGTTTTGAACTGGGGGCCTTCTGAGTCCTGGCCCAGCACTCTAACCACTGTACCACCTAGCTACCCTAAATTTAGGTGGTTCTTTGTGATCAGCCACTGTTGTTCAATTGTTGTCCAACTCTTTGAGACCCCATGGACCATATTGCCCATGGGATTTTCCTGGCAAGGATTTGGTTTGCCATTTTCTTCTCCAGTGGATTAAGGCAAACAAAGGTTACATAAGTTGACCAGAGTCGCATAGCAAGTGAGTATCTAAGGCCAGATTTGAACTACAGTCTTCCTGACTCCAGGCCAAGTGCTCTCCAGTAACCCACCTAGCTGCCTCTAACTAGCCACTTTATTCTTTTATTATATTCTAAAGCTAGTTGTGACAGAACTCTTAATACCATAGTGATCATTTATTTTGAGTTCCTACCGAATGCAGTTCAGATTCTTTACCAAGGTTTCCAAAGATACTAGAAAACCTCACAACACTTTGCTTTTGCATCTTCATGTGTACTGTGCTGTAATAAAACAGGGTTATTTTGACATTCTTCAAACTCAGTGATTTTCTTACTTCTGGAATCTTCCTTGTTCTGTACTCCCTCACACCTCTGCTTTTTCTATATCTTTTAATGCCTTTCTCAAGTGCTGTAAAGCCTTCTTTGATCCACTTAATTACTAATGATACTTTGCACTTCTCTTTTTTATGTATGTTTTGTATTATATCCAAAATACACAAAGATGAGTGAGGGGCTTGCCACAACTTGATTGTGGGCTTCTTTAGGGCAGGTCATTTTTTTGGTCTCCGCATGGCACACAGTGCTCTGTGTCTCGTAGGCACTTAAAGGTTTGAAGTTGCAGGAGACACAGAGGATATGGAGTCCTTCTACACTGATTTTGTTGTTGGGGGGGGGGCTTAAATTAATGACTTCATATTCTAAAATGCCTTGCTTATTAGTCAATAAGCATACATGTTAAGTACCTACTATATACCATGTCCTGTGCTAGGTGGATATAAAAATGAAACAGTGCTTGCCTTCAAGGAGTTTACATTCTCAAAGGGTGGGGACAACTTGCTAAACAGATACAGTGTAATCTAAGGGAGAAGCACTAGCAGTCTGGGATGGGGGTGGGGGGATTCTTCCAGGACCCCATGTAGAACCATAACTGCTAACTGTGGCACATTGATTTCACTATTTCTGATTTCTAGCTGGGTAGTTTTAATTCTGTGTCTGAACTGAATTTAGTGTTACATAGATTTTGTAACGCAAAAGTCATTACTACCTTTTGCTGTTAATTGCTTTGTTTGCATTTGTGTAATGAGGGTGGTAGGGCTAGCAGTGTCAAATGAAAAACTATATGGCACTTGACATGTTACAATATTCAATTAAATTAAGCCTTTCTGGAATTACTTAATGGTAACAGTGATATTTATTGTGTAATTATTATTTTGTCATATGTGTCTTTATTAATTAACCTGTCTTTCTTTCAGCTCCAGAATCTGGGTATCAACCCAGCAAATATTGGCTTCAGTACTTTGACTATGGAGTCGGACAAATTCATCTGCATTAGAGAAAAAGTAGGAGAGCAGGCTCAGGTGGTAATCATTGATATGAATGATCCAAGTAATCCCATTCGTCGACCAATTTCAGCTGACAGTGCCATCATGAATCCAGCTAGCAAAGTAATTGCATTAAAAGGTACGAAGAACTGATTTTAATATTATAAATTCTTCTCTTTGAACATGTAAGCTTAGTATTTGGACTCTAGGTTTTAATGTAGTATACAGGTTAAATTTGACTAAAATGATATCAATTGGCAAAGATTAAGCCCAATGTTAGAAATTTACCTGTTTGTGGACTGCAAAGATACTGTGAAACATGACTCTTACCTTCTGTTCAATATGTCTAACTGGGTTTTTACTTAGGTATAGATGATACTAAATGGCTTTTGAGGTCCCATCTAATTTTGAGACTTATTCCTTTGCAAGATCTTAAGGAAGACTTAGAGTAAAATATACTGGAATTAGCTGTTTGTATAATTGGACTGTATTACAAGCATCAGTTTTAATATCATTAAAAGGCAGGAGATTGCCATTGGTAACTTCAGTTGAGCCACTATGTTTTACTTTTCCTCAGGAGGTAAGGCCGTTTGACTAGACTTATGCAGAGGAACTTTTCAAAGCTCACAGAATTTATAGAGCATGTAACCATTTAATTTAACAGTCAACTTGTTTTTAGCCTTACAGTGTGAAAGTTGAAATTCTTTATCCATTGGTTATAGTTAATCTTGCTGATTAAATCTAATTAGCTCTACACATCCTAGTTTCTTCCTCTTCAGTTCAAAAGCCCTTTCTGAAGTTACCCACTTTCTGCAGGTTCTAGGGGAGATACAGAGTCTAGATGAGTCACTGTCCCTACCCTCACAGAGCTTATATTGAAGTGCCTTTTGAAGGTACTCAAATACTTTTCTTAGAATACTTTCTCTAACTTTAATGTTACTATATTTTTTAATGCTTTCTTATGTGTATGCAGATGGTGAGTTCTCAATTTAGATTGTGTTAGTTATTGTCCTGTTCTATGAAAAGAAAATGTAATGAGTTGAAAAGGTTTCCGGAGCTCATTACTATAGCATAGTAGATACGCATTAGTATTAAACATTTTTTTTTTACTATCTGAATATAACCTAAGTTCTATATGAGGGAGAAAATAATGTCATTTCAAGGCGCTGTTTCCTATATAGCTAATTATATTAACTTCAAGCTACTTTTTATAAACAGGACTATAACTATCACAATTTTTCAGTCTGGTTTTTGCCTTTAGTGTGCTTTGCATATTGTGCAGGATGGAAATAACATTTATATTTTAGGGAAAGCTTTTCCAAACTATGTGGTTAGATGGCGGCAAGTACAAAGCTATTTCTTCTTCTCTTGGGAAAATAGTATCTTATAGGAGCCATATATTTTCTGGCCCAGAAATATGGTGCTTTTGGGAGACCATCAGGCCTTTCAAATTAACTTTTAAATATGGGCCCTTATTCTGAAAACCTGCAGCTAGCTCTGGGCACATTTCATATTCAAGGCACGTTCCTTCCTTCTGGGACTAAATGTAAGCTGTCTTATTGGGGTGAAGCTTGAACTTTATTCTTGCCTCCAGTATATTAACTATGTACCTTGAAACCTTTCCTAACCCTTTAGTGTATTATACCCTTCCTTGCATTTCTTTTTCCTTTTCCCTTTGTAATTTTAACCAAGTAGGTGTAGCATGAATTCATTTTCTTGATATATGAGTGACAAGGCAGAGTTTAAGTGGAACCTCTTTCTTCAAGAAGCAGCTTCCATAAGTTTGGTCAGAGGGAGTATGCCAGTCTTACAAAGATCACATGTTGTGTCTGTACATATACTTGTTCTGCTTAGTATACCGAGAACTAAGTAGCTATTAATGGGGAAAAAAATTGGCTTTCTATCACAATTATAAGATTAACCTGATTGTTTTCCATCCTTTTGTCAGAGTGTTGTGCTTTGTTAGTGTTGTCTCAATTCAAGGCTCAGATGGCTATATAATTAGACTATTAGTAGAATTAACTAGGATGATGATATTTATTTCTGTCTCTATTTTCGTCTTTGGAAAGTTAGCTTTGCCAATGCTCAACTAAAGCTTAACTATGTTGGATAGAAATAACTTAATGCTTCAGATCTATTCTGTAGCGTTTAGCCATTAACTCTTGTTATTTTTGTGATAAATTTTGATGATTCTGTAACTAGTGATAGTATGAATAGTGCCTTTTCAGTTGAATGTGAAATGTGAAGATGCAGAAACTACAGAGCTAGAGTTTACTCTGAGCCTTGGTTTTAAAATCTACCTTTTTTGTTTTAAAGCTGGGAAAACACTTCAGATATTTAACATTGAAATGAAAAGTAAAATGAAGGCTCACACCATGACTGATGATGTCACCTTTTGGAAATGGATTTCTTTGAACACTGTTGCCCTTGTTACGGACAATGCGGTCTATCACTGGAGTATGGAAGGAGAGTCACAACCAGTGAAGATGTTTGATCGCCATTCTAGTCTTGCTGGTTGCCAGATTATCAACTACCGTACAGATGCAAAGCAGAAGTGGTTACTTCTTACTGGCATATCTGCACAGGTATACCGATTTTATGTAGATTAAAGAGGAATAGAAGTCCATTGCTCAGAATGGAGTAAATTTTGAAATAAGGCTTTATGTACAAAGTCCTTTCTGGAGTTGGGGTTAACCTGCAGAAAAAATGGGAAGAAATTGCTTACAGTACTAGATCTCTTGGTCTAATTAAATCCTCTTTTCTTCCCTTACTTGAGGAAATAACCAAAAATGACCTACAATGAAAGATTCAAAGCCTGATAACTATCTAGGGCAGAGGTGTCAAACTCAAGACAGGCCACAATATTTAATAAAAACAAATTAAAATGATCTTAAAACCTAGATAATTTATGGTTTTGTAAGTCAATATGCCAGCCCATAGGGATCCATTCTGTTTGAGTCTGACACCACTGATCTAGAGCCTATAGTGTAGTTGATCAGATATAATTATACTCTTATCAATTGCCAGGTGTTCTTTTTTTAAACCCTAAATTGTGAATTCTCTTACAAATTAGAAGTTAGGTCATAGAATATGGTAGAAATAAAGAGCTCTGGGTGGACTCTGGAGACTTGGGTGTTAGTCATGATTTTGTGTGACCGTGAGCAAGATACTTAATTTCTGAGCCTTGATTTTCTCTCATCTGTATAATGAGTTGGATTAATTATCTAATATCCCTTCTAGGTCTAACATTCCATGATTCCATACTTCATTTTCCTTTAGCAGGCTTTTTTGAAATACATCCTTAGGTTGCCATCTACAGAGGAAAATATTATGCTCTAATTCCTAAATTGTTAGCAATGAGGTATTACATCTAGCTTGGAAACAGTTCAGTAACATAAAAGAAATGGATCTCTGACGATCATAAAATATTGTCACTGAACATCCTGTTAATGAATTAAGGAGTTAAGATTTTGTTATTTAGTAGATTTCAACTTGGTAACCTTATTTCTTTGCAGCAAAATCGTGTGGTGGGAGCCATGCAGCTTTATTCTGTAGACAGAAAAGTGTCTCAGCCCATTGAAGGACATGCTGCTAGCTTTGCACAATTTAAGATGGAAGGAAATGCTGAAGAGTCAACACTGTTTTGTTTTGCAGTAAGGGGGCAAGCTGGAGGCAAGGTAAACTTTGGCTTCTTGAAATGGAGTTAGAAATACACAAAAACTAAGCAAACCAATTAAAAAAATATAACGTGCTTAACTGCTTGTCTTCATCTCTCAAAATTCACTCTTCCTTTTAATCCCAGTGTTCCTGCAGATTAAGGCATGTTTTTGTCTGGTTATTGCTGTTACTGTTTTGTTCCTTCTAATATCTGTAAAATATGTAATCATTCTCTAGAAGCATCAGATCATCTTTTAAAAATTAGATGACTTGAATGCCTTTTAGGTGAAGACCATTAACTACATAACAAATATAGTAGTCATCAGCTTGAAGTAAATTGCTAGAGTTCTCTCTTTCCTGAGAGGAACCCAATAAGACACCAAAGGTATATTTTCCATTTAAATTTGGAATGATAGAACGGTAACAGGCTCATTAACTTTTTGAATAAGAAGTCATTCTTAACATCTGTAAGACTGTAAGACCCAGGTACTTTGGGTGACTTGTCTCTAATACACAGATAATAATTAGCACTTTACATAAAATATATGATGTCCTCACAAATACCTCCCAGTAATGCATTTATAAATTCTCCTTGGGGCCTCACTGTTATTTATGGCCTTCTGCTTTGTCTTTTGTAGTGAGATCTTGAAATTGTTTACCATAATAACTTTAACCTTTCTAGTAAAAAATTAATACAGTGAATTAATGTATAAAATATTCTTATTCATTGCATAAGTCAGATCTTGCTTTCTTGAGAGAATTAAATAGAGAATCCGTTCTTGGACTCACTCTTAATTGCTTTATGTATTATAGGAAGCCTTTTAGAATTAAAACATTTGAGCAAAGGAACCGTGAATCAATCCTTCTTCTAAGGCAGCCCCAAATAAGCAAGGACTCTTTTATCAGTTTTAGGGATTGAACAACTTTTCAGCTGTATTTTGAATTTGGCTTTTTAAATCGTACCTTTGTTTTTGTGAATTTCCAGCCTTTTACCACTGTTTTTTGATGTAAATGCCAAAAACCTAACCCAAAGCCCAAAATATATAATTTTGAGGTGATCTAGGCCACTGTTTCCATCTGTTCATGTAAAGATGATCAAGAGCTGACTCTAGTCCTGATATTTCCCGTTCTTCAGTTGATGTTTTTGCTTGTCAGAAAAAAAAAAGGCGTAAAGAGTTACAGAAAATATGATTGTGTCTTGTTGAACAGTTACATATCATTGAAGTCGGCACACCACCTACAGGGAATCAGCCTTTTCCAAAGAAAGCAGTAGATGTCTTTTTTCCTCCAGAAGCACAAAATGACTTTCCTGTGGCAATGCAGGTATGTTAAGAGAAGTTTGTTAAAAATACGTTTTATTGATCTTTTTTTACATTGCCAAAATTTCTCCCGATATCCCTCCCCCTGATCCTTTCCAGAGTGCTCTCTCATGTAACAACTACAACAGAATTAAAAGGGGTGGGAGAAAAAAAATCAGCGAAACAATTTATAGATGTTAATTGAATTGCCCTTCTTAGCATTAATTTAACCTTTTTTTTTCTTTTATGTGGCATTTAGAAGAATGACCAATTTTGGTCATCCTGAAAGAACTTCTGTAATGCTGCTCTACTTGTTATACTTATCTTTTATATAGAATACTTAGGTGTTTGAGTTTAAGTCTTTATGCCGAAAACATGCTTTCTTAGACTGGGCAAGGCGTGAGTAATAGAAGTGGTTGGAGTTAAACATTTAAACCATGGCAGGGTTCTTAAAAGAGAGATAGCAAAATAAAGCATCTTCTATGACCAGATTTCAATTTATTTTTGTTAAAAGTGCTAATTTTCTTTATATAGATCAGCGAAAAACATGATGTGGTATTCTTGATAACCAAATATGGCTATATCCATTTATATGACCTGGAGACTGGTACCTGCATCTACATGAATAGAATCAGTGGAGAAACCATCTTCGTTACTGCACCTCATGAAGCAACAGCTGGAATTATTGGTGTAAACAGGAAGGGACAAGTAAGGAATCTGTCTACCCTCCAATTAGGAAGCAAAGACAAACCTAATAGATAGTCTTTTTCCTTTAGCATTTCAAAAATGATTATCTCCCTGTAGAAAACAAATTTAGTACTTTTTGATACTGTATGCTTGCTATACAAAATAGATATTTCTATAGAATGTAAGTTACAAGGAGAACTTTCCTACTACTAGTTTATATTTTTTAAAAGTAATAGTCACTACTTAAGGAAAATTGATGTTTTAAGTAAAGCATCATTGACTGACTTAGATACTATTTAGATAGGAAAAGCTATTGGCTGACTTGTGTATCGGAATTGATTTTGAACATTAGAGTCTCCAACTTAAGACTTTCTACCTAGGCAGTATTTATATTTTCAGAGTATCATAAAGTAGTTGGAAATACGTCACTAAGAGTAACTTGGATTTATATAGTACTTTATATTTTTAAAAGCACCTATGATAGGTGGTAGGGAGGTACTATAAGCATTATTCCCATTTTACACATGAAGAAGCTGAGACATAGGGAAGCTAAATGAATTTTCATAACTAATAAACTGACCTGTTTCTCAAACTAAAATATTAGAAGTTGTAAACCTTTTCCTCTGCTATTATTGTTATAGATATGTTGAAGGAAAGCCTAGTAGGTTGAATCCCAAAGTATCTGATTCATTTTAGTTATGACCTCAGTTGACATTTAAATATCTTTAACTCACTCTGAACTTTGGTTAAAACTTTAAACTTTTTAATCTGTCATTTGACAGAATCTTGAGTCTCAGAATTCTTTGTTTTTCCTGAAGCTGACTGCTAGATGCACATAGGACCTACATCTCACTAACTAATCCTAGTTGAGTGCTTTGTTTTTTTTTTTTTCAGTGGTGTTTCCTTTATAACTGTTCCCCATGCTACAAGTGATTGTTTTGCTTTTTTCCCTCTCTCTCTGAAGCTAAATAGAATGTGACTCTTTTAAGAGCCAGAGAGTTTCTTTTAAAATAGATATTTCCGTTTATTTGTCTGTCCATGTAGCTATCTATCTTAATACATTTTTTTTTTTTTACTATGAAAGGTATTTCAAAACGAACCTCCCTACAAGGTATACTCCCTTTCCTCCCCCCCCAGCAGTTCACAAGCTATAATACAGCGAAGCCCTGAAATAATTTTGACTAGTCCTGTTGCCTCTTAGTGTGAAATTAACTTGATTTATATCATAGCCATTGTATGTGTATTATTGTCCTGGTTCTGTCAATTAACCACAATATTAAGTGCCTGTTATATAGCAGGTGCTTGAGGTACAAATTTAAAGAAGGAAACAATCCCTACTTGCAAAAAACTTAAATTCTAAAGCCCTGTGTTCTTTATTTTGCATCATTTCATAACAGTCTTCTTGTGTTTTGGAGAAACTAATCTTAGTATGTACAGGGACCTTAGTAGTAGTGTATATTAAGTTTTGTTAAAATAGCCTATAAATTTGGTAAGATTGACATTGTATTTGATGTGGAATTTGTAAGTTGAAAATAGGAAGGTTGGAACTTAATCTCTATTATCTCTAGAGACAAGTAGTGATAGTGGAGGGAGAGGAGGAAGAGAACAAATATTAATCTACTTCCTTTTTAAAAGTAGATTTTTGTTGTGGGGCGGATATGTATACCTTGAAATACCGCATCCACTTTGCAGTATATCTTGCCTGTAGTGATAGGCTGTTTTAAAGATGAAGTCAGGCTAAAGTTAATTTTGTTAATGTTTTCTAGTTGTAAAGAAAAAATGTGGAAGACTAGTGGATAATGATTATATATTTGATTCTCATAAGCAGTGTTTTAATTGTAGGGAATATGGGGAATGGGGCCTTAAGGTCTTAGGATAGTGCAGTGCCATTCCCTTGGAGAATATTCTGATAGTTTAAATGTATAGTACAAAGATGATAACATTTCTAAGGCAGCCCAGCCAATGCCACAGCAGAGTGGTGGAAGGTATCAGGCAGCTAAGCTTCTTATGAAAGTTGGGAAAGAGAACAGCATGAATATGAAGAAAGCAAATATATATAAAATAACTTATTTTGTTGGTGAGCTCTTGGGGGGGGGAGAGCAGAATAGAGTTACAGTAGGAGGTGGTACTTAAGCTAAACATTAAAGGAAGTCAGGAATTTGATGACGTTATCTCCTTTCATCTGACTTAAACTAAATTAACCTACTGTTAGACCAATTTAGATGTAAAAGATGAAATAAAAGTATCTCGAACTTAATTTAGGTAGAAGTAGTTATGGGCTTGTAAGTTGTAAAGAAATAAAGAACTTGGTTTGACTAATTTGTCAAATGGAACCACTTTAGACTACTAAATGATTTCAAACCATGATAATAGATTTCTATCAAAGGGTCCACTCCCCTCCAATTTTCAAATTTTCTTAATATTTTTCCTCTCTTTTCCAAATAACTAATCGTGTTGAATCCTAATTTCATTAATCATCAAGGACAGTACTAGTACAGTCTAAACATATTTAGAATAAATGTCTTACAAAGTATTCATATTGGATATCTACTAACATTTAAATTATAGGTGCTGTCGGTGTGTGTGGAAGAAGAGAATATAATTCCTTACATCACCAATGTCCTACAGAATCCTGATCTGGCTTTGAGAATGGCTGTGCGTAACAACTTAGCTGGAGCTGAAGAGCTTTTTGCCCGGAAATTTAATGCTCTTTTTGCACAAGGAAATTACTCAGAGGCAGCAAAGGTGGCTGCTAATGCACCAAAGGTAAATTTGGGAAACAAACATCAAAATTCCAAGAACATTTATGTGCCTGTTAAGTGCCTTCCATTTCTAGCTATGTTAGGAAAAGATCAAAATTTTTGCAAAATAATACTGCTTTTTTGACTGTATGAGTTTAATTAGGACTTCTAATCTCTTTTTAATATTTTAACTTTGCTTTAAAATGTTATTTCCCATCCCCACCCCCTTTGTAATAAAGTACAGTTAGACAAAACAAACAACATATTAACCGTGTCTAACGGTATATGCCTTATTCCACATTACTTCTCTACGAAGAGAAATATATTTATTCATTAGTCTTCACAATTCAAGATTGGTCGTTGCATTGATTTTAGTGTTTTCCTTGGCATAATCTTTCGGTTCTACTTAATATTGCCTGCATCAAGACATAGAGATCTTTGCAGATTTCTTTGAACTTTACATTAATTTTTTTTTTTAGTGCAATAATATACCATCACATTCATATCCTACAGTTTGTTCACCTGTACCCTCCTGAAGGACTATCCACTCTTGTTTCTAATTTGGGAAAGTTTTAAAAATTCTCCAGAAAGGCTGCCATAGTGTCTGTGAGACCTTTTCCTCTGTGTTTGGCTTCCTTGGGGTGTGTGCCTTGGTAGTGCTATTGCTGTGGCAAAATGAATAGTGTAGTTAATTTTCTTAATTGTTTCTAAGAATTATGGGATCAATTTATAGCTCTGCCATATTTGCTTCGGATGCTGACTATTTAGGTCATCATCTTTGACAACTTGTTCTTCCTATTCACTTCTGAGAATTTGCTTCAGTGAAGCCATACAGTTTTAGCTTAGCAACATTATAGGTTTGGATGTTAATGTCCCTATTTTTAACCCAGAAAGATTTAGATTTATATCTAATATACTATGAATTGCTAGAATTTAAGAAAACTAGGGCAATATTTCTTCATGGTTGAAGATGACTACTGATAGTCTTCACCTGGAAGAAAATTCACTTTGTTCTAGTTATATGTCATAAATTTGACTGATTTGAGTAAAATTCTTAGGGCTAGAAGAGATTTAGAGAGGATCTAGTCTAATCTCTTCATTTTTTTTTTCCTTTTAAAAAATGTTTCATTTTTTAAACATCATTGTCACTTCTCACTCCTCTGAAGTTAGAAAAACATGACAAAGGCCATGTCTGGAAATATACCTCATTCTGTATCTATAGCCTGCTGTCTCTCAGTTTCTGAGACGTGGGATACGTATTTTGGTATAATTCCTCAGAAATGATTGTTATTATGGTATTGATCAGAAATCTAAATTTTCCTTTACATTACTGTGTTCATGGTATAAATTGTACTCATTCTGTTCACGTTGCTGTAGCCATCCATTCATAGATATCTTAAGTTTCTTTAACTTCATTTCTTATAGCATAAGAATACTACATTATATTCTTGTTCAATAGTCTCTTCCCCACCCCCAGTTTTTGTTTCTGTGTTGGTATTTATCCTATCATGATTTACCCAATTTCATGTGCCTTAAAAAATATGTACTTTAGTATACATTGTGTACCTATACAGTAGACTAGCCAACATGGTGCTTTATGAATATATTTAGTGGTAGCACACTTAAATCAGAACATGAACCAGCTTAGTCAATTTATAGTCCTGAATACGCATATGAGAGTGAGAAGGACTTGTCACAGACTATGTTAATAGATGGATCGTATTCTTAGACTTGTTTAAGCATAGAACTTTTAAATGGAAAAAAAATTTGTTTCAAATCATTTTTCTTGAAGGGAATCTTACGTACCCCAGACACCATTCGCCGGTTCCAGAGTGTTCCAGCACAACCAGGTCAGACTTCACCTCTACTCCAGTACTTTGGAATCCTTTTAGACCAAGGCCAGCTGAACAAATATGAATCCTTAGAACTGTGTAGGCCTGTGCTTCAACAGGGGCGTAAACAGCTACTAGAGAAATGGTTAAAAGAAGATAAGGTAAGATTTAACATGCATTGGTTTAACCAAATTGAATGCTATGTTAGTCTTGGGTATGTGAGAAGGGTGGAGTTTAGTTCTAGATTGCACCCAAAATGTGTGCCTAACATTCTGTCTCAAGACAACACAGAAGCCTGTGGTGCATGGAATGGTTAGGATTATTATCAGAGTAGCTAATACATGTGAGCACTCATGGAATCTGAAATCTCCTTATTGAGTTCTTTAACTATTCTACTGGAGAATGTTCTTTTAGGAAAAATTGTGTACAGTACAATACTTGAGATGGTAGAACTCTTAGGGCAATTTGGAATCAGATCTGTGGACAGAGCAGTATATACTGCCCATTTAGAAACCTAGAACCTTAATCCTAACATGGACAGAAGTTTCATCCTTATATATTTGTCATAGCTTTTTTTGCCTTATTAAAAAAATCCGAGATTTAAACGTAAAACTGGTTATCTCTTACCAGTTAAGTTTACTGATAATGAAAAGGCTAATAGGCCATAATATAGAGGTTTATTGGTATTATTGAAAATAAAGAAGCACAAGTACCACTAACCCATGATTTTTTCCATTAGTCTATCAATATCCATTACTACCAGCAGTCATGTCATATTCCTAATAGTGAGGATTATATTGAAGTACCATACCAGGAACTCTTTGGAAAGAGAATCACTCTTGAGGATAATACAGGCCACGGTAGTTCTCTATCTTCGATAGATTTTTACTCAGCCTTGTTGAAAGAACTGAAGTTTAACTGAGCCAGTAGAATGCGCCAGTTAGAAGTGTGATCTCTGTGGAAACTTTTCATCTCTGCATAACATTCTAGGCAAACTTTTTGGTTCATTTATTCAAATGAAAGTGAGTTTACTACCTTTTCAAAATAAAACATAATGTAACATAGAAATTTATTAATTCAATTTTCTTATATGTTGGATGGATTTGTTCTTTAGAGTTTCCTTAGAACCTGGTCACTCATGCTGCTACTCTTCTTTTCTCAGCCACAAATCACAGTGGTTATTTATCTTTGCAGAAAAGCCCATTTTATACAAATAGGATGTTACAGAAGGTAGCTAACATTTGTTTTCCAGGCCAAAGAAGTGTTTATTAATTGACAGCCAAAACACGAGGGGTTTTTTTTGAGGTTCTTCTATTGAAACAATCCATGTAGAGAAGGAATAAGCCCACATGCATTTTATTTGTTGCAAATAGGTTCCTTTTCTATTTTTATCCTATTTATGAAGATGTAGGTCCTTAAAATTACAATTTCTTCTACAGACCAGTCAAGTTATGAATAAGCAGGTGGTCTTATTTAATTTTCAGGGCAGTCATTATTTTTAGAATTGGAAAATACACAGAAACACTTTTTTTTTTTCAAATGTATTTTCCATAGTTCTTACTTCATAAGTATGGTCATTCTTTCAGAATCAGAGTATGTATTTGAGTACCTTGCACTTAATTTTGAAAGCTCAGTTTTTTTTAATTGATTGTAAATATATAAATTTCAGGAAGAAATTTTTATTCTAAGATTAATTTGCTTGATTTTCATCACTAAGAAGAGTTCTAATTTCTTTTTATCTCAAATCCCCTTTAAAATACTTTGTAATGAAAGAGCCAGTGTTTTGTCATAACATAGAATTAATTGCCCTATCCTCTGTCCTGTATCATTACAATTTTGCAAAGAGTCTTGGTTTTTTTTGTTGTATAAAATTGATTACTCCTTTAGTACATCTTAAACTGTATGTAGCTTTTCATTCATATCCAATATAAGTGATTATCTGAAGCATGCCACGTATTTAAGTGGCATGATGGAAGGAGGTACATTTTAGACTAATGCTTGTAGACCTACATCTCATTCTAATATCAGTTGAGTTCTCATAAGAGTGCAGAGTCTGGTACAGTTTTACCATTTTAATTGAAAAATTCATTAACTAAATTGAAAATGTCTCCTGTCATCCATAGGTTTTCACAGTAATATTTCTAACATCAGTTTCAACTATAAAACTTTAACTAAATATATTACTTAATCTACTTGCAATGCAAAATAGCAAGATTCTGTATTCTCAGTTAATTGATCAGAAAGCTCTTCCCACTATATGTTCAGTTCTACTTCTCACTAGATTATATTATCTGGAAGTGGAACCATTCAAAGCTGTTTGGCCTATGATTCATAATCATTTCAATCATATCAATTATTGCTACCTCGAGTCATTGATGTTTCTCCTAGTGAATGAGATTTTTTATTCTTAGCAGTTCTGTAGGCAAACCTTATTTACATAATGCAGGCAAATACTTTTGATGTCACAGACTTGTTTCTGAAAGATGGAATTTTTTTTGTTGTTTTGTTTTTTTCTTAACAAGTTAATCTTTCTCTGGGGGAAAAAAACTTTTGTCAACGTATTGGTAATCTCAGTGTCTACTTTTGAAGATAATTTCAGTCTGTTGAGTTTCGGTAATCCCAATGAGTAAAAAACCATCACTTTCTAGGTTGGGGTTTTTAACTAAGTTTCTATATTTCTGTAACTTAAACTCATAATTATTTGCTGTGCAAGTTTTGGCTGCCCCTGTGAGTTTTCAGTTCAGGCAAGTTATGTATTTATCACAAAAGGTTATTACTTAACTTAAAGACAATAAAATAACTGATAAATTTCAAATGACTAAGTTTTTTGGGAAACCAGCTTATATGTTTTTCTTAAATGACATTGAGAAATATCACAGAAATTATGATACTTCTGAATTAGGAGTTCACATGCTTTATTCCAGTGTAGTGTGACAACGTCAGTACATTAACCTATGTTGACTCACAGTACCTGTGACAGTTCAATATATGGTGATTAAAATTTGTCCTCTATTTTATATATCATTAAATGATTGCTGTGCTATGTTCCCTGGTAGTTGGATTGAATTTTCTGTGGTTCGTTTTTGACTTGATTTGGATTCTTTTCACTGAAATAATTAGATGTATTTATATAGGAGTTATATTTTATTTTTTAAATTTTTTTCTTAATTTATTTTGATTTATCAATAATCACTTCCATATGCTTTTGAGTTTAAAATTTTTCTCCCCCTTCCTCCCCACCACCCTCCCCAGGATGGTGCACAATTTGATATAGGCTATACATTTACATTCATATTAAACATATTTTCACGTTAGTGATGTTGTAAGTAGAAATTAAAACCAATAGGAGGAACCATTAGAAAGAGGAAACAAAACTCAACAGAAGAGAAAAAAAAACAACAGTTCAGCTTCCATAGTTCATTCTTTGAGTGTGGATAGCATTTTCTATCACAAGGCCTCTGGAGATGTCTTAGATCCTTGTATTGCCAGGAAGGGTTAAGTTTATCAATATTAGTCATCACACAACATGGCTGTTATTGTGTACAACATTCTCTTGATTCTGCTCACTTCACTCAGCATCAGACCATACAAGTCTTTCCAGGTTTTTCTGAAGTCAGCCTGTTCATCATTTCTTCTAGCACAATAGTATTCCATCACATTCATATACCACAACTTGCTCAGCCATTCCCCAATTGATGGGCATCCTCTCAATTTCCAATTCTTTGCCACCACAAAAAGAGCTGCTATGAATATTTTTGTACATGTAGGTCCTTTTCCCATTTGTGTGATCTCTTTAGGATATAGCCCTAAAAGTGCTATTGCTGGGTCAAAGGGTATGCACATTTTTATAGCTCTTTGGGCATAGTTCCAAATTGTAGGAGTTATATTTTGAAACATCCCTTAATTTTCGCTATTGCTTTGTACCCTCCTTGAGAGAAGGTCTTGTGTCACAGTTTGGAAAACTGTTCTGAGGCTCTTATTAATCAGGCTTTTCTCTTTTTTTTTCTTTTCTTTTGGACAGCTGGAGTGTTCAGAAGAATTGGGTGATCTAGTAAAATCTGTGGACCCTACATTGGCACTTAGTGTGTACCTAAGGGCTAATGTTCCAAATAAAGTTATCCAGTGCTTTGCAGAAACAGGCCAAGTACAGAAGATTGTACTGTATGCCAAAAAAGTAAGTTCAACGAAATTCAATTCATTCTCTTTGTCATAGGTTCATATAATTTTGGCTCTCAGTGAAAATGAAGTGACATATGTTGAATTAGCTTTAACAAAGTGAGAAGATTCCAGTTCTGAAATTTTTAAAACACATTTAATAATTCACTTTGTGATACCTTAAAACTTAAAAAGCACTTTCTACATTGGAGTAAAGAGTGCAGTATTATTACCATTTTATATTAGAGATTGAGGCTAAGTGATGAGTTCAGTGCTGCATAGCTGAGAATTTGTCTGAACATGAGCCTGTTGTTTTTTCTGCTTAACCAGAGGAAGTACAGTGGACTTTTTTGGCTTGGAATGATGGCCATGGGGTCCACCTTCCTTCTTCTAGAGATGAAGGCCCAGAGAAGTGAGGTGACTTATTCTGAGTTGTTCAGATCCTCTGACTAATATTAATGCTGATCTTGCAAAAATGAGTTCTCTCTCTTTCATTCTTTCCCTCCCCAAAATTGTTTTTCTTGCTCTCTCAGTCTTCTCTTTGTTTTATCATGTCCTATTTTCTCTTATCCCCTTCCCCTCCTAATTCCCTATTGAATAAGTTACATTTCTGTAAACAGCTGAGTGAGAGAGAGAGCGTGTGTGTGTGTGTGTGGGGGGTGTGTATATATTTCCTTCCCCCCGTGAACTAATTCTGATAAGATTGAGGTTCAATCATTATCCATATCCGCCCTCCCCACACTTCCCTAATTTTTCCATTCATGTCTAAAGCTCTTCCTTGTGTTCCTCTTTTATGTGAGAGAAAATTTTCCACATTCTACCTCTTCTTTCCTCTTTCTCCTAGTACATCTCTCTTTCTCAGTCCTTCATTTTTTGAGATCATTCCAACATAATCGACTCACGTCCATGCCCTCTGTCTGTAAACTCCTTTTAACTGCCGTAATGATGATAAAGTTCTTAGGAGTTACATGTGTCATCTTCCCAAGTAGGAATGTAAACAGTTTAATTTGAGTCTCTTATGATTACTCTTTCATGTTTACTTTTTTATTCTTCTCTTGAGTCTTCTGTTTGAATGTCATATTTACTATTCAGCTCTGGTCTTTTCATCAGGAGTGCTTGAACGTCCTTTATTTCATTAAATATCCAAACCCTGAAGGATTACACTCAGTTTTGCTGGATAGTTATTTTTGGTTGTAATCCTAGCTCCTTTGCCTTCTGGAATAGCATATTCTAAGCCCGCCATTCCTTTAATGTGGAAACTGCTAAATCTTGTGTGATCTTGACTGTGACTCCGTATTTGAATTGTTTCATTCTGGCTCCTTGAAGTATTTACTGTTTGACCTGGGAGCTCTGGAATTTTGCTGTAATATTCTTGAAACTTTTCATTATGGGGCCTCTTTGCAGAGGTGATCAATGGATTCTTTCAGTATCTATTTTTCCTTTGGGTCTGGGATATCTGAGCAATTGTCCTTGATAATTTCTTTCTTTTCTTTTTTTTTTTTTTTTGGTGAGGCAGTTGGGGTTAAGTGACTTGCCCAGAGTCACACAGCTAGTAAGTGTCATGTGTCTGAGACCGTCCTTGATAATTTCTTGAACTATGTCTAGGCTTTTTTTTCCCCCTCTTTTTTGATCATGGCTTTCAGATAGTCCAATAATTCTTAAATTATTTTTCCTTGATCTATTTTCCAGATAAGTTTTTTTTCCTAATGAGATATTTCACAGTTTTTTTCATTCTTTTGACTTTGTTTTATTGTTTCTTGATATCTTATGGAGTCATTAAATTCCCCTTGCCCAATTCTAATTTTTTTTTTTTTAATTTTTTTTATTTTTAGACAATTGGGGTTAAGTGACCTGCCCAGGGTCACACAGCTAGTTAAGTGTCAGGTGTTTGGTCTGAGGCTGGATTTGAATTCAGGGCCAGTGCTCTATCCACTGTGCCACCTAGCTACCCCCCCCCCCAATTCTAATTTTTAAGGAATTATTATTAGTATTTTGGTGAGGGAACTAGAGTTAAATGACTTGCCCAAGGTCACAGAACTAGGAAGTATCAAGTATTGGAGGCCGGATTTGAACTGGAGTCCTCCCGACTGCAGGGCCGGCGCCATCTAGCCACCCCAGAAATTATTTACTTCAATGAGTTTTTGTACCTCCTTTTCCATTTGACCTATTCTGCTTTTTAAGGAGTTCTTCTATTTAGTGGATTTTTGTGCCCATTTTAACATTTGGTCTTCTGTTTTTTAAGGTGTCATTTTCTTCAGTATTTCTTTGTGTCTCTTACCAGTTCTCTTTTCATAATTTTCTTGTATCATTCTCATTTCTTTCCCCAATTTTTCCTCTACCACTTTTATCTCTTTCATTAACTCTTTGAGGAATTCTTGTTCAGTTAGGGTCCAGTTAGCATTTTTTTGGCATCTATTTTCACATTATTGTCTTCTGAGTTTAAGTCTTGGTCTTTCTGCCACCAGAGTAGTAGCTTTTTAAGATCAAATTCTTTTTTGTGGTTTGCTCATTTTTCCAGCCTATTTCTTGACTTTGAACTTTATGTTAAAGTTAAGTTAAAGCTGCTCACCTGGGGTTGGGGAGGCGCTGTCCCCAAGCTCCCTGCTTTCTTGGGCTGCTGTTTTCAGAGTCAGTTTAGGGACTTTGCAAGTTTTTGGCACTTCCAAGGTGGTGTGATTCTGGGAGAGTTTTATGGTTGCTGCTCTCCTGTTCTTCACTCTTGTGTTTACCCAGGAAGGGGTCCCTTATCCCCTGCAGCCACAAGCACTTCTCTTTTTTTTTTTGTGAACTGTGACCAGGGCCCCTGCTCCCTTGTAACTGATAACCGGTGCTCCTTCACACCCTGGAACTATGACCTAACACTGTGTATGTGTAGTAGTGTTGCCAATCAGCACCAGCTATACCCGGTGCCAACAAAGGGTCCCCTGTAATCTCTTTGTGATCAGTTGTCTGATCCTTTTTTAAGTTATTTGCAGAAGAATGTTGGGAGAGTTTAGCTGAGTGGCTGCCCTAATCCGCCATCTTGGCTGCACCTCCAGTGAGTTCTTATTATATAGCAAAGCAGATAATGCTTCTACCTCGAAAATAAGACTTTTTTTTGACTTCTACTTTTGAACTGTTTTTGTAGGTTGGTTATACTCCAGACTGGATCTTTCTGTTGAGAAATGTAATGAGGATCAGCCCAGATCAAGGTCAACAGTTTGCTCAAATGTTGGTTCAAGATGAAGAGCCACTTGCTGATATAACACAGGTAAATGTGTTCAGATATCTGCTTGTTTCTTTGATTTAAATGCATGAAAGAGGGTAGCTGGCTTATAACTAAACTTTGGAAAGACAAAACACTTGAAGAAATGGTGGCATTTTATTTATGCATGGACTCTTCCTGCTTAAAACATTTAATGCTTAGTTTTTTGAAAAACAGCTTTGGTAACAAGTGTTATAGACCATAATTAGATTCAGTAGTTATGAAATTATAGTGGTCTAAATGACTTATAAATATTATTCTTTTCTTTAAAAATGGCTCTTGAATCTGTGAAACCAGGTTTTTGTTCTCATGTTTACATGTAGCAATATCCTCAAGCTCTTTTTCTCTCTTTCATAGATTGTTGACGTGTTTATGGAATACAACTTAATCCAGCAGTGCACTGCATTTTTACTTGATGCTTTGAAAAATAATCGCCCATCTGAGGGTCCCCTGCAAACACGGTTGCTTGAGATGAACCTTATGCATGCCCCTCAAGTATGTTCTTTTCTTGTGCTTTTAATGATGTTTCAAGTATCTCCTTGTTCTAGGTGGAGGATAGATTGGAGAGGGAGAAATACTTGAAGTAGTGAGTTCAATTAAAAGGCTCTTGGAATCCAAACAAGAGGTGATGAGGAACTGAACTAGGGTAGTAGCTGTGTGAGTAGAGAAGGGGACAATGCAAGAAATATCGTGGGGATAGAAATGGTAAGATTTGGACAACGGCTAATTTCATAGCTTGAGAGGGAAGAATAAAGGATGACACCAGAGTGGAAGGATGTTGGTACCCTTGTCAGACTTAGGGATATTTAAAAGGGAAGAAGGTTGGAGTAGGGAGATCAGATCACTTTATACTTTTTGAATTTGAAGTGTCCATGAAACATAACAGTTGGTGATTTTTGGACTGGGATTGATTGACATAGATTTGGGAGTGAGAGAAATGATTATATCTTTCATACATTAATAACTAATTATTGAATTAGGACCAAGGTTTTTCCTCTTTTCTGCTTCCTTATTCAGAGATCAATCAGTATGGGAAATCTTGGGCAGAGACTTACCCAAACTAAGATCTAATCAAAGACAGAAAAGAAATTCTAAGGTGGATGAGTGGATTCCTGCTCATTGTTTACTTGGAGGGGTCTGGGGAAATGTGGATTCTCCCTTTTGTCAGACAGGTGATATGAAAATCGATAAATCTCTTTGACCAAGATTTGGGTGCTCAATGTCACGTACCCCAAGATCCTCATTGGAATAAGCCCACCTCTCATTATAATACTCATTCTCTTCTTAATTGTTAACCAGTTAGTTGATTGTTTCCCTCAGGAGCACCCAGTCTTTCAAGGGCATATAAACTGTGAGCCACTGCCATGATTTGTCTTTGGCATTTGATAGTGTCATAGACCCATTTTATTGGTAATATGCTAGCATTATTAATAAAATGCTTAATTACCCAGAAATTATGGCTCTCGAACTGCTTAAGCATCACAGCAGTTATGTGGAAAGAGATAATTGAAATCATGGGAGCTGTTGGTGATCATCAAGTAAGGAGGGTCCTGGGCAGAGCCTTAAGGCACATCCACACTTCTGGGTTGGGATTTGGATAATGAGTCAGCAAAAGTGAATGAGAAGGAATAATCAGACAGGTACCAGAATCAAGGGGAAGTAATGGCATGAAAATCCAGAGATAAGGGAATCCTCAGGTAGAAAAGGTTGTCAACCGTAGCATGCTGTAGAAAAGTCATGAAGGGGAAGCATAGAAAAAAAAAACTTGGGATTTATCAGTTAAGAGATAGTTGCTAACTTTGGGTAGAGCCATTTCAGTTGAGTGAGGTTGGAAGTAGATTGCAAAGTTGAAAGTAGACGATGTAGAAGCAAGAGTAGGCAAGTTTTCCTGCACGTTTGGTAGAGGAAGGGAGGAGAGGTATAGGATGTTGGTTTGAGGGAATATAGAGTCTAGTGAAGATTTTTAAAGACTTGGGTATATTTGTAGGCAGCAGGGGAACTCGTATATAGAGAGGAGTTGGACATTAGAGAGATGGAAGGGATCATTGAAAAGAAATAGGGGAATAGGTATATGTGAGGGGTTAATCTTGATGAGAAAGGCAAGCTCATCAGACTGGAATTAATGGAGAGAGTTTTGTCCAGGGGTTTTTGAAATGTAGTGAACTAGGGCAAGAGCTCATTGCAAATGGGCTCCATATTTTCATTCAAGAGGTAAAGTCCTCAGTGGAAAAGCCCCATAAGGAGTTAGAATAGAAAATTTGTTAGGAGTAGGAAGGAAGAAAAAAATGAATTTATTTAGTGCCAGGTAAGCACTGGAGATGACAAATACAAGCAAAAAAGAAAGACAGTCTCTGTCTTAAGGTGCTTACAGTCCATTGAGGGGAAAACTATATATACAAGAGACCTGTAAAGGGGCAGGGAAGGGCCAAATGAACTTAGGTGGAGAAAAGGATGGTGTTAGAGTTAAGGAGGAGGGTAATTAAGGCCAGCCTTTCCAAAATGGAGGCTCCAAGAGGAACTCCCCAGTGGGATAATGGGACAGACTTTACAGAGTGATATCCAATGATAGCCTTGCTGCAGTGAGGGCTCAGTTGAGATGAGATAACACATTTGTAGTTGAACCAGTCAGATTCTTTGTATGCCTTCTTCCCGCTCTGCTGTGCAGCATATGAATAGGAATAGAAGAATTGGATGGTAGGAATAATCTAGGGTTGGGGGCACTGACATTAGGACAGGGGATTTAGGAAGAGAAGACAATGTGGAATTTACAATGGGGTCAAGATAGAGAAGGAAGCTGGAACAGGGTGGCCTAGGAGAGTACTTAGTAATAGTATAGATTTTTACCCCCTCCCCATAGAAGTAATGGGAGAAAGGAAATGACCTGTGATTTCATACTTGTAGGGAACTACTAGGTGGAGAATTTACATGTACTAATGTGGTTTAGCAACTTACACCATTAAGGAGAGATGCCTGGAGCACAAAGAGGTCAGATGATTTGCTCAGGGGCACAGAGCTACTATATGTCAAAGGTGGGACTTGAACCCTGGTTCTTCTGTCTTTAAGACTGGTCTGTATCTGATATGCCACACTGCTTCTCAAAGAAGAATCTAGCTCCTTTGGTACATGTTTGTCATTCAAATCTTTACACCAACTGTCCTGTTTTTTAGATTTCTTATATGCTTTTATTTTAGCAAGTCACTAATGAGTGGTCAACATTTAATAAATATGCTTTTATATTATATAGTAATATATGGTTTACAAATACCTTCACAGTGATCCTGGGTTAGAATTAGTAATATTAAAAGAAAAAATTTAACTGTTCTTTGTATATTGTTCTAGGTTGCAGATGCTATTTTAGGGAACCAGATGTTTACACATTACGACCGGGCTCATATCGCTCAACTCTGTGAAAAGGCTGGCCTATTACAGCGTGCACTGGAGCATTTCACTGATCTGTATGATATTAAGCGTGCAGTTGTTCACACCCATCTTCTGAACCCTGAGGTATGTCTCACGTATACCTCCTATCATTTTAATTTTACTTAAGGTGTGTGATCTCATTGAATTTTTTTGTTGTCTCCAAGGATACACTATTAACTTTCATCCATGTCCTCCCCATGGACATGGTAGTTCTTAACTGATATTATTTAAAATATAATATATTTATTGATGGTTGTGCTGATAGCACAGTATCTTTCTGCTAGCCTGACCCTTAGCATGATCTTTTATCATCATTTTGTCTTCTAGTGGTTAGTTAATTACTTTGGTTCCTTATCTGTGGAAGATTCCCTGGAGTGCCTCAGGGCTATGCTTTCTGCCAATATTCGCCAAAACCTGCAGATTTGTGTCCAGGTGGCTTCCAAGTATCATGAACAGCTCTCAACTCAGTCCCTGATTGAACTATTTGAATCCTTTAAGAGTTTTGAAGGTAAAGTTTAAGAATTCTGCACTATGTAATAAAAAACAAACCATAGGAACACACATTTTTTTTGTGTGTGTGTAACGGACAGGTAATGGTTTAGATAGAAAATTCAGGAAGAGCTATGAAACTTAGACCTAAAACCAGTTTCATCACCACTATTCATCTTGTAGTTGGTATTGCAACAGACTTGAGGCATTAATAGTCTTGACTTCTATGTTTCTTGCCAAAAACTGAAGTGAAGATTATGTGCAAAGTAGGAACTGCAACTTCAAATGACCATCTCTGCCCTTGAAACACTTAAAACCTACAGAGAGGACATGAGATGTATGCAGGCTGTAATGCACGTTTAGGGTAAGGTCAAGATCTAGATCAAGTAGTCTTGTAAGTTTCAAGGACAAATGTCACATCTGTCTAGGAGGTGGAGGGGAAATCAGGATAAGCTGTGTGGAAGAGATGGCATCTGAGTTTGGTCTCAAAACAGAGGAAATATTTAAGTGTGACCAGAAAAAATCCTTTTTAAGGTGTAAAAGTGGATGGAGGCAAATCAGGTTTGGGGAATGGCCATTATTCTAGTTTGATTATAATATAGACTATTTGGAAGGAAGTTGGTATGGAATAAGAGGATTCAGGTTTTAGAGGGCCTTGAAAGGCAGGATATCATATCCTTTAGGTAACAGGGAGCCACTGAAGGCTTTTTTTTTTTTTTTTTAAACAATATATGTGATTTATGTTAGGAAGATAATTTTGCTAGTTATACAGAGGAACAGAGGATGGAGGTAGGGAGACCAGTTAGGAGCCTATTAGAGTTGTCTTGATGATAAATGATTAACATAATAAAAAAATTTGCTAATTTTAAAGGGATTATGGTGGTAGAATTGACAAGACTTGGCAACTGAACAGAGACTTGGAAGTATGTGGAAGGATAGAGAAGAAAGCATAAAAAATAATTTTAAGACTTGGTGAAATGATGGTACAATAAATAAATAGAAAAGGAGGAAGGGCAGGTTTTGGAGGGAAAGATTATTTGTTTTTGGACATGTGCATCATTAGAAACTTATAAGTATTCTTAACTACTGGAACTTGATGATTAATGAGATGCTATCCTAATATTTAGTAATTAAACTACTATTTCCCAAATGGCATGCCATTTTGATAAAGCCCTCTAAGAAATTTAATCAGGGATGGTTAGGTGGTGCAGTGGATAGAGCACTGGCCCTAAAGTCAGGAAGACCCGAGTTCAAATCTGGCCTCAGACCAAACACTTGACACTTGATAGCTGTGTGACCCTGGGCAAGTCACTTAACCCCAATTGCAAAAAAAAAAAAAAAAAAAACAAAAACAAAAAAAAGAAATTTAATAAAAAATTTTCTCCTCAATTATTAAAAGAATAGAGCTTCTAGGTGTTTTTTTTTTTTTTAAGATACCAAATGTAAGGTTTCCAGACTTGAAAACTTGAAAAATGTTCTAAAGTAGATGATAAAGGATTTCAGAATCTGAAAGTAATTGCATTTTTTACTTACTTGGCTCTTGTTAGGATTTTATTGTCTACCATAATGTGAAAGTAAGTTAGAGGAACCTTGTAAGACTTGTATGGACTGATGCTGAGTGAAGTGAGCAGAACCAGGAGAACATTGTACGCAGTAACAGCCATGTTGTGCGATGATTATCTCTGATAGACTTAGCTCCTCTCAGCAATGCAAGGAACTAAGGCATCTCCAAAATCTTAATGGTGGAAAATGCTATCCACATCCAGAGAAAGAACTATGAAGTTTGAATGCATATCGAAGCATACTATTTGCTTTTTTATTGGGGAGGCGGGTTCTTCTTGTGGTTCCTCCTGCGAGTTCTAATTCTTCTTTACTAATGTGAAAATATGTTTAACAGGAATGTGTATGTAGATGCTAGATGAGATTACACGCTGTCTTGGGGAAGGAAGGGGGGAGGGAGGGAGAGAAAACTTAAAACTCAAAAGCTTATGGATGTGATTGTTGAAAACCAAAAGAAAAAATTAATTAAAAAAAGAAAGTAAGAGGAATAAGAAATTAATTAGATAAATACTTTTCTATTATTAAATGATCAGAGTTTGTCTAAATGGAGTTTTGAATAAGGCATTCTGCAGGTACAAATGCTCAAATCATAATCTACTTTGTGTTACTAGATTAATCACTCTTCATTAAGCTTGTAAAACAATTGGTCTTATGGGAGGTCTGTATGTTTAGGGTACTTGGTCAGATGATTTCTTTTGTGCTGTCTCTGAGCAGTTCTAATGCTAGCCACAAATGTACATACTTCTGTTGCATCAGGGAGCTGACTTCCCATGCAGATCATCATGTTTTTCTAGTAGATAGATGGTATTTGAGAGTTGCTGGAGCTTGAAAATTCATCATTTTGCCACCATACTGGTAGTAAACCACATTGGATTTAGCTAGGCTATGCTAAGAGAAATAGCGAGTACTCAGACCTTTCTAGCTTGCATTACCTGTCAGAGCTAATACTCTACTGGTTCATTATTAGAGCCTAATGTTACCTCTATATCATGATGAGGCATTTATATAGTTCCTTGGAGTAAGAGTCTCAAACTCTTTCAGCTCAGTTCTTTAAAGCTTCTTCTGGTAATCATCTTTATCACTTTCGTCTGAATCTAAGGATTTCTTTTCCTTTTTGGTTTCACCAGCTGCCCCATCACCAAGTTCTTCACTTTTGTACTTTTCCTCCACTCAGAAATTCTGGCTTAGTATAACAATTAAATATGGAAATTTCAAAAAGTCTCTCCTTCACAGATTAGATTTTTTGAATCTTAATTCTAAATTAATTTTTTCATGTGTAGTTATTGTTTAATGAAGGTTATGTGTTGTGTGTATGACAATGTATGATTTCTTAACTAGAGGGAATCATGAGTCTTAATTTTTACTTTTTTTAAAGGACTTTTTTATTTCCTGGGATCCATTGTCAACTTCAGTCAAGACCCAGATGTGCACTTTAAATATATTCAGGCAGCCTGTAAGACTGGGCAGATCAAAGAGGTAGAGAGAATCTGCCGAGAGAGCAACTGCTATGATCCCGAGCGTGTCAAGAACTTTCTCAAGGTAAGTTTTTCCAAATATAGTTAAGTCTACAGATAATTGATTATCTCGTGCAAAATCAGTAATGCTAGGAGATTTTTAAATGATTGTTTTGCCCCTAACCCTACATAATTGAATATTGAAAGCATTTCTTCCAAGTTAAATAAACCTCTAATTTCCCCTCAGAGGAGGAAACTAGTAAGAAATAGATCATTAGATCTTAGAGATTTTTTACTATGATAATCCATAGCTTCATCTCAGGAGTTATTTAGGTCCTTTAAAAGAAGGCTAGATTTTGTAGCTTTGCTTCCTCAAGTGTCATGATACTGTACTTTAAAATTGTAAACTCAACTTGTCTATGATACTGTTAGAAAGGGTCTTCATAGCAAGCAGGGATTGACACTAGTGTCTCCAGGCTATGATTATTTGGCTGTGCCATTGAAGGTATAAGGTTTTCAACTTGTAAACTAAGTATCGTATTCAGACATGGCAACTAGGTCTTGAGTAATTAGCAGAATAGAAGCTACAAATTAACCTCAAGATGCCAACTACTTTGTTACATGATAAATACTAAGCTTCAGAGAAATGATAGCTATTGTGTGGGTCTTTGTTGAAATGATGCTTTTTAGGGAAAAAAATTTGAACTTTAGCTTCTTTCAATACAAGACAACTTAAGCTAGTCAAAGTTTAACTTGAACTTCATTTCACTCAACAAAGTGATTGTTTGGTAGGAGAAGAATTAAAATGGGATATGCTGTTAAAAAGACTTTAATCTCCACATACAAACTAACTGTAGAACTATTAGCACACAAACAAATTTATTTTTCTTCTTCTAATTTTTAATTTTAAAAGAGTGGCCCAGGTAGTTTTACAAAAAGCTTCTTATAACTTGTCCTTCAGAAGAATCTTAAGTTAGAACTATAACTGAAGGCTCCTATCTTATCAGGTAAATTGACAGAGGGTAGTATATAACCTATAATAAACTCTTCTTTCACCCACAGTGTTTCTTAGAGTTTGCCAGTCCACTTTGTATTAAATAACTAAACTCATGGCCTTCCATTCTATAAATTATACCAAGTGCTAAATTCAGCCTAACTTTTCGCCTGGGATAGATTCACCAAAAATATGAAAGCTCTTGTGAAGAGCTACAGCTTTGAGAAACCTAAATTCACATAATCAAAATCAGAACTGCTTCAGGTTATAGACCCACTGTAAGGATAAAGGATTAAATTGGATCACCTTTCTTGTCTTTTCTAGTCTAGGCATCAATTTTACCAAATCTTTATGAATCAATAGTAAAGTACCTTAGTCTCCTTCCTTCCTTCCTTCCTTCCTTCCTTCCTTCCTTCCTTCCTTCCTTCCTTCCTTCCTTTCTCTCTCTCTTTCCTTCTCTTTCTCTCTCTCTCTCTCTCTCTCTCCCCCCAATCAGGATCTCATGAGAAGCAAATGGTGTAGTTGTGGTATATCTTTGGCCTTAGAATTATTTTAAGATCCCCTAAACATTTTTAGTCCAGGATTTCTGTTACCTCTGGGACTACTCTAACTTTCTGGTGTATATAGCCTGAAGGCATTTCATCCAGCCCAGCACTATCCCTTGAATTGAAATGGTGCTTGTGCTTCTTAGTCTTCAGGTTCTGATCAGTTTCAGGGGATAGGGCACAGGTGGTGTTAATCCCTAGACATCAGACCAACTTATGCTTTCTTCTTAGGACTACTTTTATTCTTAACTTTATTCCTTTATGCTGTAACTGTTTTAGTGAGAACATTTATTAGTTTGGTTTGGGGGCACCATTGTAGTAGTCTTAAGATTCTCTGTACGTCTTAGAAAGAGAAGAGGTAAGAATACCCATAAGTGCTCATTTTTATGTTCAGTAAAAAGAGATTTGTGATGAGACGTACACCTAATATAGCTTTTGTGATTATGTGATAGTACTTAACTTCTTAAGATTTCTCCTAAGAGTTAGATGCAGTCTCCAAACCAAAAAAAAATTATACTCTGTAAGAAACTGTGAAACTGTGAATTTAAGTAAGTTAATCTGAAGCCTTAAATCTAGTAGGAAGCTTGAAACTGTTCTCAGTTCACATCTAACAGTGGCTCTAAATGTGTTAGGCAATTGATCAGAATTATTTTAATTGTTCTGAAAATCTTAAATGATTGTAATTGGAGAGCATGGTAAATCAGTATGGTGAAAACACTGGTTACCTTTTGCCTTGCCCAGCTAAGTAGTACCTGTAAGTAAGTAAGTAAGTAAAGAAGTAATTAAACAGATATCTTAGTTTTCTTATTCACTTTCTCAGTTTAAATTAGTGATTTTGAGTAGATTTTACATGCTAGTTGTATTTTTACATTGCTTCAGACAGTAAGTTTTCTGCAGAAACCCTTTAACCTTAAACTGCCTGACGTTATCTCTAAGAGTGCTGAATTCTTAAAGGTCAAAGGAAGTATGTTACTACATTTACATAAAAATAATGCCACAAACAGAACTTGGTTTACTGGTATTCATAGATCACTGAGGAAAAAATTATGTTAATTAGCTACGCTTGTAAAAACAAGGTAATAGAAACACTTTTCCTTTCTTGAGATTATTATAGTATGCAGTAATGTTAAATTTCCTATTATTTTAAGCATTAGCTTGCTTGAAAGACTTTCCTAAATGTGTAAAAACAAGTCTGTAGCTGGGCTGCTTCTTCAGATGCCCAGCCCTTTTTTGGGGGGGGGGGGTTGTTAACCCCTAGATATAGTTTTCCTTCAACCTTCCCTCCCCTAACCCTACATTTTTTAAAATTCTGGAAGTGCTTCATAGTTTACTTATGCTTTGTAGCATTAGATATAACCCAGTTGTGACTATTGGTTAGACCTCAATGATTAGATTTTGTTCTTAGTTTGCAAATGTAGTTTAATTTTTACTCTGTCATTGAGGAAAGTCTCTTAGGTTTCTCAGTTCTCTTTCCTCAGAGTGTCTTAAAAGCATTCATTGAGGAATTTTAGTCTGTCTATAAGTAAATAAATTCCTGATGGAAATTGTTGTTTTTTGTGCTGTTCCTTGTGTCTGTGGAATGTACAGGACATGTACCAGGTAAATCTCCCAGTGCAGGTCTTTCCTACCTGTCCATAGCATCTTTCATGTAAGTTTGTAAGATTATATCCTGGGATGTGTAACACTCAACACAGCTTGATTTATGTAAGGGCATCTTTTTTTTAAGTGCCTGTACTGACCTTAATCTTACTACAGCAACACATGATGCTTCTGTCTCATGGATATCATGTTGCATTGAATGGGTTGAGTTAAAAGCATTTGAGTGGATGGATGCAATAGAATCTGTAAATTGGGAAGGGATGGGACTAAATGTTATCCATCTGCAACAAATGTAGATGAAAGTACTATGATTTTGGAAGAGTGCTTTACTTTCTTAAAGCAGTTATCAAGTGTTGGTCTTGCATTTATTAACATCCCAGTGTGTTAATCCTACTCTCAATGCCAGTGGCAATCAAATTCTGAAGTATAGTTGTTTGTCATACCTGTTGTCCTGTGGTTGTTTAATAGTCTTGTAAATGTGGGCGTGGGAAGGGCCTGCCTTGTGAGGGACTTGTTAGATTACTATTTTGCTGTAGATAGTAGCTAGTGAGTTTACCGATAACCCTGGGAACATGCATACTCAGGTTATTAGGATACTCTTTATACTGAAGATGAGACTACTATAGAAAAATTGATTGCCTTTTTGCATTTAATAAGAACATGGTCATGTCTTAAAACAGACCATATGTGACAGGTAAGGGTTCTCATGTGTTCTTTTTCAGGAAGCAAAACTAACAGACCAGTTACCACTCATCATTGTTTGTGATCGATTTGACTTTGTTCATGACTTGGTGCTCTACTTATATAGAAATAATCTCCAGAAATATATCGAGATTTATGTGCAGAAGGTAAGTACCAAATCAAACACAAAGATTATATGTTATCTTCCATTGGGGGTTTTGGACCATAAAGACCAGTCTTGTTGGACTATGGGGTAAATCATCCATTTTAATCATTGTACTGTAATGCAAGAAACTTGGGTATGTAATAAATAGTAGGGTTATAATTGGTTTTGAAAAACACTGCATTCCTGTCTTTTAGTTCCTTAAGTTTTCCCACGCTGTTGTATCAAATACCTACTTAACTATTTCAAAAGACAAAGCAAACTGGCTCAAGAATTCACTCACATCCCCCATTAAGTCTAGACCTGTGGGGCAGTGTTTTCCTCAGTAACTTTACATAGTGTTATAGTAAAAGAAAAAAATTCTCATATGCAAATAAGGATAAATTTAAGTATTTCAAGGACAAGTGAGACCATTACTGTGAATATTTCTTCCATCTTTGCAGATCTTTATCTTTTTGTGCCTTAGGCATCATGAGTTGTTGAGGTCCAAAAGTCATCTCGTGAGTTTTTCCAAATTTAACTAGGCTAGTCACGTTAGGCCCGTACTCATTACCATTTTAATTTAATAGGACTTACTAGTCCTGACAGTAGTCTTTGAGAATTTTATGTCAAATACATGCTACTGTGATATGTCATAGTAGACTATTGGTAGAGGAATATAAATGAATAAGTTTGTCAGGAACATTCCTTTGCTTAAAAGGATGGAAAAGAATATTATCGAGGGCAGCATTCTTTGAGATGAGTTAATGCTAAAATATTATATCACTGCCTTCTGTAGGTGAATCCAAGTCGTCTTCCTGTAGTTATTGGAGGATTACTTGATGTTGATTGCTCTGAAGATGTCATAAAGAACTTGATTCTTGTAGTGAGAGGTCAGTTCTCTACTGACGAGCTTGTTGCTGAAGTGGAAAAGAGGAACAGGTATGGAAACTCTGTCCTTGTTAAATGAATAAAATGATTTCTTGTCTTTAGCCCAAACTTAATTCTGTTTAGAAAGATAATCAGTGATAAAGGTAGTGTAGTTGATAAGGATTCTTTGTCATTGTGTGTTATTGATTGCTCCTCAATTTTATAGCATCTTCTATTTCTAGGAAGTTGGCTAGACTAGAATGGAAAACAGAAGATCAGGAATTGGAAAAGTGTAACTGTTTATTTGCATAATGGGGAAGTCTATACAATTATTATAAAGCAAAAGGATACTGAATACCAGGTGGAGAACTGTCCTATGTTATCACAACATTGTTTGTGTTCTCTGTTAGAGCTAGAACAATATATAGCTAAATTTGGTATATGCCTAGTGCAGCATATACAATGTGACCAGTGCAGTCAGTACAAAACTAGTTTTTAATGTTACTCCTGAAAAATGTAAAATTCTACACTCTTTGACACATGATTCATTTATGATATGAAGTCATGTGTGTTTGCATAAAGGCTCAAAGCTAGCAGTGCGCAAGTAGCACATGTAGTGTACATTTCAGATCTTGGTTAGGTTATACAAATGCCTTGTCCCAGGTCTTTATGGAAGGATATCTTAAAATTACACTCCGCAACTTCTCTGATCACCAAGGAAAAATGTTGCTTTTTGTAGTATAGGTGGGCTATCTATCTAATGATTGCTAGGTCATCTGAATTTGTAGCTAAACAAAGTGTGCTTTACAAATAGACTAGATAAAAATAGGAATACTGTCTTGATTCGTGCAAAAGAACTTGAACAATAAGGATAACTAGTTAGAAGTGTCCAAGGAAGACAGGAAAATATTAAAATTTCGATAGAGAACTTTAGATAAAGGTTTTTATATGAGCTGGTGATGCAGTGTATTGAGCACTGGTTGGCGTCATATTTGACATTACATATGGCCTCAGATACTTACTAACTGCATAACCCTGGACAAGTTGGTTAATTTTTGCCTGCCTCCATTTCCTCAGCTGTACAGTAGTAATCATAATAATAGCACCTTCATAATAGCACCTTCTTGCCAGTTGTGAGGATCAAATGAAGTAATATTTGTAAAGTTCTTTGTACAGTTCCTGGTATACAATAGATGCTTGAATAAATGCTTTTTAAAAATATCACATGAATGGTACCTTTAATGACATTCATATAATTTAAAGCTTATGAACATTTCAAATATTGGAGAGAAATTAAAGCTTACGAGAAATTAAAGCTTACTTGCCGTAGGTGGCTAAGATCTGCTGAGATAACAGGAATCCAATTAATTTTAGATGCTGTAGTTGTTTGAAGTAGATATTTTAATGTTTAGAAAGGAAAACATAGGTTTAAATGTGTCCTCTCGATCTCATTCTAAATTGCCAAGGTATTTCTATCATCCCATTGTCTTTTTAAAAGACAAATACTAAACCACCAGAGGTCAACTATTGTCTGATTCACTAAAATTTTTGTCATATTGCCTTAATCTAGAAACTTTAATCAGATAATTAAACTTGTCTTCCAGGCAACATAGAATATCTGCTTGGGTTAAAACTAGTTGTAGAATCTTAAGTCCACCTTCACTCATTTTATTACAATAAGATAATGATTCTGTAGTGGTACTTATGACTTAAAATCTGAATCCTACTTTCTCTTTGGCTATTTCTATGCAAAGATTTAAGTAATGGCTAGAAGTAGAGTTAGCCAATAAAAAGCCAACATGTGGCCGAAGCTTACTTAGAGCAGGGAAATCTTTCTTGGAAAAGGTTTTATTCCCAGTTAGTATTAGTATTTCCCGTTAGTCATTATTTATGACAATTCTCCTTTTGGCCATAGATAACAGGGCTCTCCTTTTAGAGCTGAAATTTAGCTCATCCTCTGGGCCTTTGGCTTGTAGTCCCAGGTAAGATTGTTCTTGACTAAACAGCTAAGATTTTTAATATTACCTCATTGAGTTGCTTTTCTGGCTGAGTCTCATGGATGGCTGTACTTGGGTAATACCTCACAGTCAGATCCTAAGTTTTGTAGGTTCAGAAGCTCAGTTTGTAGGTCACTCAAACATTTCATCAGGTATAAATGCTCCGTGCACTGACTACTGTATGTGTTGTATTACCAGGAAAGAATATTTTGCTGTTCACTTTGGCAGCATCTTTTAACAATTTGGATAATGTAATAGTAATACTAGTAGCTAACATTTATATTGTGCTTTAAAGGTTTGAAAGCACTTTACAAGTATTGCATTTTAGAGATTACACCAAGGGTCAGATGGGTATTTATAATAAAGGTTTGTGTGTTTTTTCCTAGATTAAAACTTCTACTGCCTTGGCTAGAAGCCAGAATTCATGAGGGTTGTGAGGAGCCTGCTACTCACAATGCATTAGCTAAAATCTACATTGACAGTAACAACAACCCGGAAAGATTTCTTCGTGAAAATCCCTATTATGACAGTCGTGTTGTTGGAAAGTATTGTGAGAAGAGGGATCCCCACTTAGCATGTGTGGCTTATGAACGTGGCCAGTGTGATCTGGAACTTATTAATGTGCGTATCTTTCATATTGTGAATAGAAAAGACTCTACCAACTGTATATGCTAAGAGTTTGTGGGGATGGGTTTAGGTAGTTCTCAGAACTGGAGTAGATTATTTTAAAGAACTTTTATATCAGTGAATACCTTTTTTCTTTCATTATGTCAGGAATAGAACTATAGTTTTGTTTTTTAAACAGTGGAAAATAGGCATGGGATATTTTTTTTTTTTGATAGGAGAGAGGTGGTTAGACCTAGCTTTAAGTTTTAAACTTTCTCTCTCCTGTTATGTAGGTTTGCAATGAAAACTCTCTCTTCAAAAGTCTTTCCCGCTATTTGGTTCGCCGTAAGGATCCAGAGCTTTGGGGTAGTGTTCTCTTAGAGAGCAACCCTTACAGGAGGCCCCTGATTGACCAGGTAAGAGTGGTTATGATGCATTGACAGTTCTAGCTGTTCTTGTCACTGGCAAAGGGTAGGAGAGAGGGGCAGGTCTTTAACTTGAGTTTCTTGTTCTTAATATTTTAGGTTGTACAGACAGCCTTGTCTGAGACTCAGGATCCTGAAGAGGTGTCTGTTACTGTCAAGGCATTCATGACTGCAGACCTTCCCAATGAACTTATTGAACTATTGGAGAAAATTGTTCTTGACAATTCAGTGTTCAGTGAACACAGGTATGTTGTGAGTGATAGCTCTTTGTGGTATATTCCATTTGATGCTCACATCATGTGTAAGATTTTTATAAATGGTGGCAGAGGCACAGCTAAATTATTTTTGTTTTGGCTACAGCTTGAGTAAGTCTTGAAAGAAAAGAAATGACTTTCTTGTATGGCTATGATTATGAATACTTCCAACTTATGCCCACCTTCCCCTTCCAACCATCCAGATTTGATATTCATATGTATTTATGCCTAATAGTTTCTTGAACATATTACATTCAAGTGATGCTAACTTGTCCTTAATAGGAATCTACAAAACCTCCTTATCCTCACTGCAATTAAAGCCGACCGTACCCGTGTTATGGAATATATCAACCGACTAGATAATTATGATGCTCCTGATATTGCTAATATTGCAATCAGCAATGAGTTGTTTGAGGAGGCATTTGCCATTTTCAGGAAATTTGATGTCAATACGTCAGCTGTGCAGGTAAAACTTCAGTCAGCCATTTATGACAAATTATTTAACCTCATATTCCTTTCATTCCAGTTAATAGTTGTATACACCCTTATTATAGCAATAAAAAGGCAAGTTGCCAGCAATTTTTTTCTGTTAGTTGTAGAAAAGCCCAAATTTAACTAATTTAGCCATTGCCTTCACTACTAATTTTTAAAAATTTATTTCTTAGGTCTTGATTGAACACATTGGAAACCTGGATCGTGCATATGAGTTTGCTGAACGCTGCAATGAACCTGCAGTATGGAGTCAGCTTGCAAAGGCTCAGTTGCAGAAAGGGATGGTGAAAGAAGCCATTGATTCCTATATCAAAGCAGATGATCCTTCATCTTACATGGAAGTTGTTCAGGCTGCCAATACTAGTGGTATGACTCAAATGTTTCAGGGGCACATATGTTATCTAGTCCTCAATTAAAGCTGAGTAGTGAATAGTCCTGAGTTGTGTTGGAGCCCCATAAGACCTTAACCCTAGACTTCAGTTTCCTTATCTGTAAAGTAAGGGGGTTGGATTAAATGGTTTCTGAGATACCTTCCTTCTTTAGATCATAGATCTAAAGATCTGATCTCGAAATTTAAGTTGCCTTCTCAGGTGTCAATCTGTCTTAAAAAAAAAAAACCAAAAAACAAAAGACTTGAAACTATATTGCCTAAACTTGAACTCTCATGGGATGTTGCTTAAGCGTCATGTGCTTCTTTTACCTTATGTTTTCTCCCGTTATGGGGATGGGGGTGAATAGGAGGGAATGCCTATCTTGCCTGTTATAACAATAAGATTTTTCTTTTAGCCTTACCTATCAAGAAAAAGAAACTGGTTAATTCTTTGCTGTTATGGCAGGAAGATAGAATAATTTCAGACTCATCTAATTTATCACTATTTCTGTAGGAGGCTTTTTGGAGGCTTCTTTTTTTTGGCTAGGCAGTGGGGTTAAGTGACTTGTGTAGGGTCACACAGCTAGTAAATGTCAAGTGTCTGAGGCCAGATTTGAACTCGGGTCCTCCTGACTCCAAGGCCAGTGCTCTATCCGCTGCGCCACCTAGCTGCCCCTAGGAAGCTCTTTTTTAAGGGAAATGAAATGATACCATTTAAGATTCTTCACTTTATTAATAGGGCTTTCTAGGGGGATTTTCCATGTAGCTTATTTTTCTTTCTATCTCCAGGCAACTGGGAAGAACTGGTTAAGTACCTGCAAATGGCTCGCAAGAAGGCTCGTGAGTCCTATGTAGAAACGGAACTGATCTTTGCTCTGGCTAAGACCAATCGCCTTGCAGAGCTGGAGGAATTCATCAATGGGCCAAATAATGCTCATATTCAACAAGTAAGGTTCTTGTTCCATTTCTTTCAGGAGCTGTTGAACAGCTCTTGTGTGAAGTGTGACTAGTATCAGCAAATCACAGCTCAGGAGCTAGGTAGAAGGAGAATTATGTATGGCTGAGACTGATAACCAACTGTTTTTTTTTCCCCCCCAGGTTGGGGACCGTTGTTATGATGAGAAAATGTATGATGCTGCTAAATTGTTGTACAACAATGTTTCCAATTTTGGTCGCTTGGCATCTACCCTAGTTCACTTGGGTGAATATCAGGCAGCTGTTGATGGGGCCCGGAAAGCTAACAGCACTAGAACATGGAAGGAGGTACCTGGAAACATAATTTCAGATTTCTTTAAAAGTTAGGATAAACTTTCAGACCTTTGCTCTTCCCTAGGAGGGATCTTTCAGCAGCGCCATACCTACATTAGATCATCAGCCAGCTATGTAGCTGTTTTTCTTAGAGACAATCATCTGTATTTCATATCCCTAGGTCTGCTTTGCCTGTGTAGATGGGAAAGAGTTCCGCTTGGCCCAGATGTGTGGGCTTCATATTGTGGTACACGCCGATGAACTAGAGGAGCTCATAAACTACTATCAGGTAATGAAGAAGGGTCTTTGACATTCATGACCCCCACATACCACAAGGAACAGCCCTTGTTTGAATGGTGCATTTCTTTCTTTCAGGATCGAGGGTACTTTGAAGAACTGATAACCATGTTGGAAGCAGCACTGGGGCTTGAGCGAGCCCACATGGGAATGTTTACTGAATTAGCAATTCTCTACTCAAAATTCAAGCCACAGAAAATGAGGGAACATTTGGAGTTGTTCTGGTCCAGAGTGAATATTCCAAAGGTAGATTATCTTTGTTGAATGGCTAAAACTATAATACTGGATACTAATCTATTTGAAATGTATTAAATGGAATTAGCCCACATTTACTAGTACCTTAATCTTTTTTTCCTATATGCAGGTGCTAAGGGCTGCAGAACAAGCACATCTTTGGGCAGAGCTGGTATTTTTATATGATAAATATGAAGAATATGACAATGCCATAATTACTATGATGAATCATCCAACAGATGCATGGAAAGAAGGACAGTTTAAAGATATCATTACCAAGGTAGACATGTGCCATCAGAATGTGAAATCTTTGTATATTGAATTCTTTGAATTAAAATAAACCTAACTTCAACCTATATTTGAATCTTCCCATTTCAGGTAGCCAATGTGGAACTGTATTATAGAGCAATACAATTCTATTTAGAATTCAAGCCTCTGCTACTAAATGACCTTCTGATGGTACTGTCTCCAAGACTGGATCACACTCGTGCTGTCAACTATTTCAGTAAGGTAATGGTTTTAACTAATCCTACTTAGAGGGTGCTTATCTGAGCCCTGAGTATTTTTCTAAGTAACTTGGATTTAAAATGTGCTACATTAACTCCATAATCTTGTTTCAAAGGTTAAACAGCTTCCATTGGTTAAACCATACCTACGCTCAGTTCAAAACCATAACAACAAATCGGTGAATGAATCATTAAATAACCTCTTCATTACAGAAGAAGATTACCAGGTAAAACATTTTTGGCTCTTTGGTATGCCTTTGAACACTTAGTTATAGTCATAGGAAAAATGGGTAAATTACAAGGCCTTATATTTTTACTTTATTCTTTCCTTCTGGTTTATAAAGTAGGTTGTAGGTAATAAAAGGTTTTTTATAACACTGATTCAGCTTTATTCATGTGACTTGGAGCCTAAACAGTGATACTATGAGGTTTGAGAAATTTTCATGTATAAATGCTTTAATGACTAAAGCAGAATGCTCCAAAACCCTGCTAGAAGTGTTTGGGTTTTTTGTTTTTTGTTGAGGGTTTTTTTGTGGGAGGGGCTGGTGGTGGAGGGAAAAGCTTTGACTACCCTTATATAGCAACCTAAAGAATAGAATCTAAAGAATAGAAAATGTTTGGCCCCTTAAGCTCCCCAAACTTAAGTTTCACCTTGAAATAACTGTTCCAGTCATTTTATTCTGTTTTTTTTTCTTTTTTCTCTACTTCCTGACCATTAACTTATGACAGTTTGGTATGGTAACTGAAGTATTTGATCCAAATCCTGACCCTGATAATACTAGTCATCTGCAAATCATTCCAAGCCTTAAGTTTCCTATGTGAAATACTTTACATATTTCAAAGTGCTATATTGATGTTGGTTTGATTACTGACAGAAGGGCAAATGTTTGCCTGTATCAAACTTTTTAGTGAGGATTCTTAAGACAATAAAGTTAATAGGCATTTAGTCTAGACCAGGTCCATTTCTCTCCCAAGAATAGAAATTGGTTTGCAGAGCACAAATCTAAAAACCTCACAACCAAATCCAAATTGTTTGCCAATTTTGAGCATGTTTGAAAGAAAAAAAAAACCTTCAAAGCATTGCTTTTGTTATAAACATTTTTATAGTCCAAACAGACTTAGTGGAAGAAACTTGTGGATTATTCACATGGCTAATGTTTAGATACAAAATATTATGGCAGGTTTTGTTTCAGTAATGCCAGTGGTAGGACTGAACACAAATTTTTAAAGATGTTACGTCAGTTTGTTCTTTTAATTTCTTTTTTTTTTTTTAAGGCACTGAGAACGTCAATAGATGCATATGACAATTTTGATAATATTTCTCTTGCTCAACGTTTGGAGAAACATGAACTTATTGAATTTAGAAGAATTGCTGCGTATCTCTTCAAAGGCAACAATCGCTGGAAACAGAGTGTAGAGCTATGCAAGAAAGACCGACTTTATAAGGTAGATAAAGTTAAGAGTAGAAGGGAAGGGGGAGTCTAACCTAAAGTAAATAGGAAAAAAAACCTTGAAAAAAGACCATTTCCAAGACTGGATTATGAACCTCTGTCTTAATCATAAGGGATACTTTCAGATTTTGTGTTCTATAAAACGATCATTGTTGTATACCTTAAGGAAGACATCAAAACTCTCACACGGGACAGATCAAAGTATTTAACTCTTAAAGTAGTATATTAGTCTCCAGTGCAATCTAGTTAATGCAAAATGAATTTATCAGTGTGAAATCTTTTTGCTTTTTGGCTTTTTGGTGTGGCAGTTGGGATTAAGTAACTTGCCCAGGATCACACAGTTAGTGAGTGTTATGGGTCTGAGGCCAGGTTTGAACTCAGGTCCTTCTGACTCCAAGGCTAGAGCTCTATCCACTGTGCCACCTAGCTGCCCCTAGTGTGAAATCTTCTGCTGAGTTTTGCTGCTCCCCATGTCCTCCCTCCTCCCACTTAAAAAAAAAAAGCCTCACAAAACTAAAGTAGTAAACTGAGGTAAAGCTTAATTTCTGGGCGGTATTGCTCTATTTTCTCATCTAGCTCAACTCAAATCAATGTAAGATATTTTGAGGGTGCCATGTCCTCCTTAATGTAAGGGGCTTGGGCTCATTCTGTTCCTTTTGTGATTTTTAAAACCCCGATGCATAATAAAATGCAGTCCATTCCACCCACACACACACCCACACACACACACACACACACACACACAATTCTTTAAAAAAATTTCCCTTTCTTATTCTTAGGATGCAATGCAGTATGCCTCTGAATCCAAAGATACAGAGTTGGCAGAAGAGCTGCTACAGTGGTTTTTGCAGGAAGAAAAGAGAGAGTGCTTTGGAGCTTGTCTCTTCACCTGTTATGATCTCTTAAGACCAGATGTTGTGTTGGAAACTGCGTGGAGGCACAATATCATGGACTTTGCCATGCCCTATTTTATCCAGGTCATGAAGGAATACTTGTCCAAGGTAAGGAGTTATCTTTTAAACATATTCATCAATAATTGCTTCAAGCAAATGCAAAATTTCATGTACAGTCTTAGGTTTCAGAGGTGAGATTCTTTAAGTAGATTTGATTTGTTTCAAATCAATTATGTAAAAATGGCTCTAATTCTTGTTACTCAGGGTCCCCTACCCCATTGCCCTGCCCACTTTGACATCTGAGGCACTGGAAATGACTTCTCAGTATATCACCCTAGTGTGTGTATGAGTAAGGTCACTTCTAAGTTCTTCCTCTCTCCCCACCCTTTTTATCTCTTGGTGAAGAAACTCATTTCTTCAGAACAATCCTTCCCCCAATCCAGTATTCAGAAGTCTCAGTAGTAATTCACATCCATTAGCCAGATGTTTATAACTAATAAAATGAATTGCCTTTATGCCAATTATATCCTTTTGTAGCTTGATTTTTTAGTAGTAGTAATAGTGTGTTTGTGGCCTTAGGAAGTGGCACATACTTTTCTGATAGGTTGCACCTGATGGTATTGATTATCAAAGGAAATTGACTTAACTAAACATTAACAGGTAAATTAAATTGGGGGGCCTAATTATACATTTGTGAAACTTTGTCTTACCAAACTTGCCTTTTTGGAATTGCTGTCTTTTGTGTAAATATATTTAGAAAAAAGGCACTTTTCTCTACTTTTTTACGATTCCTCTGGGCTTAGTTTTAGGTCTTGCAATAAAGAAAGTCTTTGGAGACCAACAAGGATTTTTGTACCTTCCTTACCACACTCCCTCATCTAGTGATTTTACTATTCTAACATAGGGAAATATACTCTAAGAGAACCTATTTATCCTGTCTTGAGGAATAAGATAGGTGCCTAAAATATGGATGACTCATCAGATCGGCATACTTGATTATTTGTTTTTTAAAGAACATTTGCCTAATGGTTCACATAAAATTGCTATTTCTTTTTTCCTTCAATTAACTACTTTTTAGGTTCCAAAGTATTTGGTTAGTTTAAGCAAAAAAAAAAAAAGACATCAATAAAGTGCTACAGAAATCAAGTAGTTAGTCAATGAAATGTTACTTTCTCTCCATAGTCACAGAGATCTCTTCTAATGTGCTTAATAGCTAATATTGTGATGAGGGGCTCTTAGCTGCTGTTAAATTAAGTGCTATACATTTACTGTGGATTAAGCTGCTTCTCACTTTAGTATAAATACACTTTTTTTGCAATAGACTTTGAAGTTAAACTGATTTGACTCTAAAGTTTGCTTCCAGTGTGCCCTTTATTTTCACTTCTCCTGTACCTTTTTAGTGGTGAATTATTTCTCCCCTAAACCTTTGTTGCTGATTCTACCTTTTTATGCTCAATATGGAATTTAATTTTTTCTAAGCTGCACCTTCTGAATTCCTTTGCAGGTTGATGCAATAAAGGAAAAGGTGAAAGTTGATTCTTTTCCATCTTTAAGTCTGGAGGACTAAGTCTAAGAAATCTGCATGATTTTTTTTCCTTCCTACCTTTTCTACACTGCTGCTGCTGCTTTTTTTCCCCCCAACAAAATTTCACTAAAGCCTCTGCAAGTCCTTTGAAACATATCTACAATAGAGCTGTAGGAAATTAGTAGATGTTTGCTACTAATCGGCCAATAGTCCTTTAGGAAGGGCAGGAGGCTAATCAGTAGTTGGTTCACAGTCTCTTAAAAATGTCTTTTAAAAAATAGGATGCTGAGATGTTTTCCTTATTCAATCCAAAGTATAAGAGATTTCTCTGTCAGGGTATCTGGACCATAGTAGGATTTTCTCTCAAATACATGGAACAAATTAAATTAAAACAGCCTCTGGTTTGACTTTTGCAACCCTGCCTGACAGTTGATGAAAAATATATGCCCTAACGGCTTTTCTTACTTCACATTGAAGGACTGTGATCCAGTTTCTGATCTCTTGATTATTACTAATTTTTTTGCTAAAAGTAGAGAGAAGATACTAGCTGCTTCCGAAGTGACTTTCCTCATGTTTCTCTGGGTGTCCAGTTCTTATGGTGCTAGTACATTCTCAAGAAAAAAGTGAAATTCTTTTTAATAAAAAATAAGTTTTAATACAATTTAACTTGATGTATCTTGTTGCTGAGCCAGCATGGAATATTTCATTTTATGATGACCACAGTATTAGCAGCTGTCTTTTTTTGGCATCAGGCACATCTTTAAAACCCCTGTCAGTTTGTTCTCTTCCTGATGTTGGTTTATTCCTAGGAAGATCTTATAAATGTTGCTTATAGCCCCTGCCTCCTTGATTAGACTTCTCTGCATCCCAATATAAATGAAAGGCTTTGAAAACTTGTATCACATTCAAAGAATGTGGTTGGTGGCCAGGGGCTGGGAAAGCAGAAGGAGGATGACACAAATTCTTAAAAGCGTTTGGAAGGGCTTATATTGAACCCAAATGAAATCACCACTGGAACTTAGGGCAAACCTGAGTAAAATACATTGTGTGTGAGGCTCTTCAGCAGCTAGTAAGCAAGGCAGTAAGAAAGCGTGTGTGTGAAAAACGGGTAATTGAACTGCAGTGTATGCATTGTTTAAACTGAGCATGTACAACAGTCATTGCAATTACATCACACTATTTCTGAAACTCTAAAGCATTGCTGTGGGCTGTGTGTGTTTCTTGGGAGCCTGTATGGCAACAACCATCTTCAGACCTCACTTCTTGCTTCAGTACTTTTGCCTTTTTTTCATGCACACATACACAAGATAACTGACTGCATGTTAACTTTTCCTCTGCAGCTTATTGCAGTCTTTGTGGAAAAGCCTTTTTACATTTTAATGATCTTTCAAATAGCGTGGATGAACTGAACCCAGTGACATGCTTACTTGTCTTTTTATTCAAGGATCAGAAACTTTTGTTACAGCTCTTTTAACAAAAGCTTGTGTTCATTAAAACATTCTCCGCTTTTTCATTCAAGCAAACTGGGTCAATGAAAGCTAAAATTGGATATTTCTCTGCCAGAGGCTGTCCCTGTGTCTGGAAAAATCTAAACTTTTTGCTTAGCTTGATGCTACCCCTTCAGTATTCCTCCTTTCCTGTGCCCAGCCTGCCTATGTCAGTGCTTGGGTATTTCAACATTCTAGTGTGTCTAAATCTTCCATTTGTCTCTATAACAGGAGTTATGTTGAGCATATTACCCTAATGTGGACTTTAAACAGGCATTTACTTAAGATTCCCCCCTTCCCCTTAAAATCTATAAACATTTGTAATTTTTTTTAATAGTTGCTTGAGTAAATTACTCAGCATGATTTGATTCTGGGAATTTTCATAAGATCCCGAGTAATAATTTGATGGCATAGAGCTTTATTAACAGACTCAAGAGCTGTGGATTTATTTTTGACGGATTAACTCTAGTTTGCAGAAATGTACTTTTGGATAATAATGCTTACATACTAGTGTTTAGCTTGTCATTTTTTTAGGGTATTTTGGGACATAAACATCTAGGCTGCAATATTCCTTTTTTTGCCTTTTGTAGAACACTTTCCTGGGGAAGGATAACCCCACTTCATCTGAAGAGTCTATGGTTGACCTTCAGTTTATGGTTTAATTTCTGTAGGTAAACTGGTCTTTTGCATAATTATTATGGATTATAGCGTAATATAAAGTATTAAGTATATGGAAACCTTTCACTGTTGGATCCACTGTGGGCAGAGAGTTAACTTTTGAGAAACCAAACAGTAACTAATGCTTTAATTATTAACACATATAGCGCTTTAAAGTTGATAAAGCACTTTATATATATATTTGATTTGAGTTTCATAACAACCCTGTGGGGTAGGTACTATGGATGTTGCCTCCATTTTGCAAATTAGAAACTAAAGCTAAGAGAAGTTCAGTTGGTTGGCCAGGGTAACACAGCTAGTAAGTGTGTGAAGCAAACCTGGCTGTCATGCTTTGCATTGTGAAACCTCAAAGCCAAGTCTTACACTTTAACAGCCCTGTATATATCTTGATTATTACAGCTTTTCATAACATTTTGGTGTTTATAACTCCACATATCTTTTTGAAAGATACTAAACTGTCTTCCCCTTTACTATAAATCAAGGTACCATGACTTTGAGAAATTATGTACATAATGTTCTGAAAGTAAAACCTAATAAGATAGGGAGACTTGGCCATATATAATGATAGACCCAGACTGTTCTTTGTATTCTCACATGTTGTTGGTTAGGCCCCAGTGGCACATTACTGCCTGTCCCCTACACACACACACACACACACACACACACACACACGCATACGCATGCATGTGCATCACACGTGGGCTCTTTCCTCTCCTTTCTCCTCTTTCTCCTCCTGTTTCTTTGTCCTCTCTCTCTCCCTCTCTCCTCTCTTCTTTCTCTACTGCCTGCCCCTTCCATGTATGTACAAACATGCATACATGTTACTGCCTGCCTTTTATACACACACACACGCGTGCGTGCGAGTACCACAAGTAGGCTCTCTCCTCTTTCTCTTCTCTTTCTCTTCCCTCTTTCTCTACTGCCTGCCCCCTTCATGTATGCACAAACGTGCACACATATTACTGTCTGCCTTTTGCGCGCGCACACACACACACATACCCCCACCCTCTGCCTACAGTGCCCCCCATCTCCCACTCCACATTTCCTTTAAGCTACTGGATTCCTCCCTAGCCACATTTTTGGGGTCCCATTTCTTCCTTTCCACATGTTTTGGTAATTAGTGTGACTTTAGCCACTTAGCAAAGTAGCTAGTCTATTAGTCTTTGCTGAATAGGCCTGCATCTGTGATTTATTGGTATAGGGAAATTTCCCATATGAAGAACTTTGTTTCAATCAGTACAGATCAGCACCTCTTCTGCAGTTGCTGTTCTGAGTAGCCTTAGGCACTGGTCTCCCTCAGGGTCACACACAACTGATGTGTCAGAGGTGAGACTTTAACCCAGATCCTTCTGAGCCAGGCCAGCTTTCCATTATACCACACTGCTTCTCATAGTCTTTTTCTGGCCTTTAAATAAAAGTATAGTTACATGTACAAAAAGAGTTTGGTCAAAATAAAGCTAGGTAGATATCATGTAATATTAATGTGTAGCCTTTTAAAAAAGAAAATGGAGCCTGGAGTTACTTAGGTCTTGAAAGCTTCAGGAAAGGCTTAACTTGTGTCATCTGGACCCATACAGTCTTGACAAAGTATAGTTTACAGTGCCATTGTTAATCTTTGTCAAGTTAGCCTGCTGGTTTTACTTTTTGAGAAAGTTACTTTATTTTGGTGAGGGATGCTCTCCTCTTTTCCAAGAATTCGTCAGTTTCTTCTGGTCCCGTTTAACTAGGAGGCAAACTTCAGTTTAAATGGTTCCCTCTCCTCTTCCTCCTTCCCTCAGGCTGCATCCTAGCATGTCCAGTTTTAGCCTGGCGTGAGCTTTTGACAGTTATAAATCCCTCCTTCTTGAGGGTTTATAACAACAATGCTGAAAAACAACCTTGACTGATGTATGACCATAACCATTTGAATCTGAGGGGGCCTGAGAATGTTCTTTCAAGTCCGGTTTTGACAGTATTTAACACACTAAGGCTTTTCCACTTTCTGCCAGAAAAAAATAGGTGTATGAAGCCTTTTTGGGTGTTGATTAGCATTACCTGTTTTTCTCCAGGTGGATAAACTGGATGCTTCTGAATCTCTGAGAAAAGAAGAGGAGCAGGCTACAGAGACGCAACCCATCGTTTATGGTAATGCCACTTATTTGCAGATATAAACAGTGGATTGATTTAAACTTTATTAATAAATATACCACAAAATAGGAACAGAAATGGTTAAATAAGAAACTTGGCTTTCAGTTAATAGGAAGTTTTATGAGATGACAAAATAAAGGAAGACCATCAGCCTATTTTACTATTTAAGAAACTGGTCATAAACCCATGAAAAGTTTCTCAGAGCACTACTCATTTTCATGTTGAACACAACTCCTAAATAGGTCATGTTATTTGAACCCTACTTGCTCATTTAGTGTTAAAAAAAAAAAAATAGTATTCCTGCAGTGATGATACATCCAGATAATCAGAACACTGAAGGGGGTAGAGAACTACCTTTCATCTAAATTTCTACCATATAGGTATAGAGCTTAGCAAAATTGCCCTTCTTTTTTTCCAATTTTTTTTTCTGTCTTTTTAGGCAATTGGGGTTAAGTGACTTGCTCAGGGTCACACAGCTAGTAAGTGTCAGGTGTTTGGTCTGAGGCTGAATTTGATCTCAGATCCTCCTGACTCCAAGGCCGGTGCTCTATCCACTGCGCCACCTAGCTGCCCGCATCTTCTTTCTTTATAACATTTAATTCTCAAATTAATATTAGAGACTCACAGATGGGCTATCATTTATCAGCTTACTTTTGATTCCATCTATCAAATAATAGACCCATAGCTAGTTGACTGACTAATGAATGAAAAATATGTAGTGTTTAATAAGTTTAATAAATATTATCAAATAAGTAATACATTGAAATTTCCTTAGTAGCTTAAGGAGCAATTAGAAATTGAAGAATTTTGTCTGTTGAAAAAAAAATTTTAAACATAGCATTGCTGCTAGACATGATGATACATGCTTGTAATTCTTGCTACTGGGGGGCTAAGGCTAGTGAATCATTTGATCTCAGAACATCCGAGCTGTAGTAGGGCTAAGGGAATTGTGTGTCCACACCAAGTCTTGCACCAATATGGGGGAGTCTTTAGAACAGGGGGACACCAGACTAAGGAGGTGCAACAAACCTAGCTTAGTAACAAAGCAGGTCAAAGCAGTGTCAGTCATTATTGGTTTTAGACCCCATGAGTGACCAGTGCAGTTCCAGCTGGGCAAGATATGGAGACTATCTCCCAAATAAATGTGTGTATGTATGTACATGCATATACATATACACATACCTACCTTCATACACACATTCACATACATATACACTGCTTCTTCTTTAAACGAATAAATTTGCTTAACCTGATCCCCAGATCATTTCTTGGATACAAGTTAAATCTTGGGTAAATAGGTAAGGTAAATAGATTATTTGATATGAAAATTTAAACTAAAAAGCTTTAAAAAATTTGTTACTCAAATTTTTGTATTTAATGAGTACATAGCCTTCATTGCTTTATTTCAAGGTGAATGGAATCTTTAACATAAGTGTTCCTCTGAAGTCAGTGTAGAGATTAATTTGTGAACTACAAGGCCTGTCACTTAGTAGAAAATGAGAGACATGTACAACTTTTAAATTGAGCCACTAGCAAAAAAAAATTTCTGTGGAAATAGGAATTTGGATGAAACACTTCAGATTGATGTAGCTGTTTTCTTAGTGTTACACTGGTGTGCATACACTCACTTAAACTGTAGATTTTAGTTCTGAGAGCATGACTCCCTATAGAACAAGTGTCTTTAGGGAAAAAAATTTTGTAGGTCAGGTTTGCTACAGGTATCTATGGACAACTCTCAGTTCGACTGAGGAAACTGTTACTGTACTACATAAGTTACTTCAGTCTCATGCATTTCAAGGTTAATAGTGCTAGGATTTTTTTTCCTGCCTGTTGTCAGATTTCCTCTTTCCTGGGAACAGATCTTTGCTAGAAGGATTCAGAAGGCATTGTTCAACTGGGCATTTCATATTCAAATGATCTTTGGTTGAAGGAGTTGGATTATATTTAACATAAGCTTAATTAGAACTGTGATTACCCAGATTTTATTGACTTAAAACTATAAACATTATTTTGCTGTTGGCACACAATAGTTTTAAGCAGTTAGGTGCACATTGCCATACATACATATCCATATCCATATCCATATATATATATATACACACACATATATATATATAACTCTTAACCAGCTTATTTTCCTCTTAATTTCTATTAATAGAACCCTCATGTTCCTTTATCTAGGTTCAACATCTGTCTTTGTCCTCTTCTCCATTCACCTGCATCTTGTCTGTTTCCTGTTGATTTCTAGTGTCTCCACCTTTCCATTCTCGCTGCTGATGCCACTTTAGTTAAAACTCCTATCTTTCATCTGGACCTTAATTAAAACTCATACCTCTCATCTGGACTGTAGAGTAATTTTAAATTTATGGAAGAGAATGTTAAGGGATCTGTTTTCTGATTCAGCCCCTATTGTTTACACTAAGCTGGGTGATTCCATCCTCCTGGACATTGGTGCTTTTCCAGCTCTGGGGTTTTTTTCCCCCCTACTTCATGTTCTTCTCTTAGGGAAAAGCATGGAAAAGCCTTGTTTTTTTTTCCCCTGTCTCTTTCAGAATTCTACCAGTATTTCAAAGTTCAGCTCAAATCCACACTCTTCTCAGAAGCTCTCCATGCTAGAAGTGCTAATTCCATAGAATACTTGTGTGCTTCTGAACTTTTTTATTCTATCAATTGTGCCCAGTTATTTCTATACATCTTTTCTTCTTCTGAACTGTAAGATCATCAAAGGCCGGGGCTGTTTTGTATATTTTTAACAACAATGGCACTTCTCATATGGCAGCCAGTAAAAGATAGTTGAGTGAATAATAAAAAGTACATCCCAATTGTGATTTTGATAAGCTTACCTTTTCATTTGTGGATGTTGCCAAATGACTCCTTTAGTAGAATAAATTTCTTTGCATATGAAAGGGGGAACAGTTTCATCCCGTTTGTTCTAACAACTGAGCTTCATTTGGTGTCAGAACCCCATTTTCACATGCCAATGACAGCTGCTTTCCTCTTGTTTATAGGTCAGCCACAGTTGATGTTGACAGCAGGGCCCAGTGTGGCAGTTCCTCCTCAAGCACCTTTTGGCTATGGCTACACTGCGCCTCCCTATGGGCAGCCACAACCTGGCTTTGGGTACAGCATGTGAGGCAGAAAATGGATCCTGGAGCTGGCTGTCTTCTTACTGAAACTCCACCGTCCCAACCCACCTCTCAATTCATAACAGGGAAAAAAGCAACAGAGTTTTGCTTCGTGTTCTTGTAACCTTTGTTTCATGAAGGACTTTTTTTTCCTAGAGCAAACTTGGATCACCTATGTTTGAACCTTTATTTCACATTCCACATCATCTTAGAATTTATTTTCAAAGGGTAATAGTTTAAATGTTTGTTCATGTGGGCTTTTTTCCTCCCCCTCCTCCTTTACAGAACTGCTTAACATTCAAACAGTCTGTTGTGAAGAACTTGATTTGCACTCTGTAGTGTTTATAAAAAAAAAAAGAGAAACTCTAATATCAAATTTCTTAAATTCAATGTACGCGAGCAGCTTAAAATATGTACTGTCTAAATGCATTTAAGTCTTATTGTATATTCAAAGAAAAGCTAAAGCAAAAATCGGTATTTGACCATGCAAGACTGCCAATGACAACAAAGACAACACTAATCAGCATCTTCTGCACTGGTTGGATTGCATAGCTCTTCAAATTATTACCGTACAGACAACTTTGCCTGATATTTTAAAATGAGCATAAAAGGCCCTCTAACCTATGCAGGTTTAAAGTTACACATATAGAAATGCTAGCGTGTTTTGCTCACTCCATATGTAACAGATGCCCTTATGTTGTGCTGTATCCTGTGCTTTTTTTGTGGGACCATTCCATTCAGGAACAAAGAGCACCATGATTCCAATTCATGTGTATTTACTAACCCTTCCCTGAGGTTTGTGTATGTTGGATATTGTGGTGTTTTAGATCACTGAGTGTACAGAAGAGAGAATTCAAACAAAATATTGCTGTTCAGTTTTGGTTGTGCAATTTGAAATTACTCAAATTTAAAATAAATTACTGGACTGTGGACATACCCTGTATAATGGCAGTTTTAATTATGCATTTTCCTAACATTAACCAATAATAAGCCAGATCAACAGATTTGATGGGGTTTCACACTGGGCAGAAACTGAGATAGTAGCAGGGTATCTTAATAGAGAGGGAGGAATAAAGATTGAGACCGTGTCAAATAATGCAACACTATGCATTCTATGATGTGAATTCCTGTAGTTAAGATACCATACAATAAAAGAACCAAGCAATGTAAATTTGACTACATTTCAGCAATCTCTCCAGTATTTTAACTGAGTGATACTTTAGATTTGTATCCAAGTATTTCAGTTAAATTAACAGATCATGTTAGGTATGTTAAATTGCCTTAATATTAGCTTCAAATAAAAACTTAAATGTTTGACTCTCGAATACTCTTTATCCTGTTTGAACATGCAGTTAGTGCTCTGTATCATCTATCTCTACCAAGTCACCCCAAATAGGGATAAATTACTTTTTTTAAAAAAAGCAAACTGCTACATTTCATGGCAGTTACTAATGCATTAAATCATTAAAAAATTTGCAAGCATGAAAAATAACTTAAATCAGCTTATTTCATTCTTCAGTTGCCAACTTCTGAAGCCATTTGTAACCTGTTCATAAAAAAAGTAAAAGGCAAGTCCTTTGAATAACACTAATCAGGTTATCCTTCTGCTTTATAGGAGCATTGGCATGAGATATTTTCTGTTACGTTCTCTATATCTGGCTATAGATTTACCAATAGCTATAAGATTGTTTAGAAAAGTCAATTTATGAAATGACTAAAGGAGTAATTGCCACGAACGGCAGGTCCCTTTTTTTTATTGTTACTATAATTAGCCTAATCAATGTGAGAAGAGCCTAGTGGTATTAAAGCAAACTAATTATTTAGTAAAACTTCTAGAGTTCTAGTTTTTATTCTCTATGTTGCCCTGGTAAGATCCTGCTTTGTCTTCATGATTACATCAAGATTATGATCTTCGTAGACCTAACATAAAAAGTAGAAAGATTGAGTCTTGTTCTTTCTTTACTCTACCCTACTCTTTCCACCAGGTAGATGCCATATGAAAGTAATCCTTCATTTTCCCCTTTATAAGTTTGTGGCATGTTGTGGCAACTGTATTTTGCAAGTGTGTAGCTTTAAATTCATATTAGGTTCCCACCTAAGGGAAATCTATTTGGAGAGTGTATGTGAAAGTTGTTTTGGCCATCCATTTTCAACTTCAGTGGTCGGGAGAGTGTTTTAATTTGGGTCCCTAGTAAAGAAAGATAAACAAGGCAACTGTAGTGGCATGGGGGAAGGCCAAATTTGACAAGTAAGAAAATTAAGGCATTCTGTTATTATATGCATGTACCTTCTTTTTGGTGCAGACCTGATTTTATTGGTGAGAAACTCCTGTTGCAAAAACCCCCTCCATTACTGCAGATCAACACTACTCCTTGTGACTTACATTCTTAATGACTTACCTAGGACTATACAGCTTATGTGAGTCCAAGGCAGCACTTGAACTCGTATTCCTGACTTCAAGGGGTCACCATGCTGCCTCTCACCCTTTACATTAGGTGTAGCTATACAGGAATTAGGGGAGTACCCTGGGTTTCCTCCAGAGATCTTTCTGCTTTTATGCTATAGCTCAGTGAAAAATGAAGCTCCTTAGTTAAAAATGAAGTATTTAGATGAGTCAGTCACATATTTTGATCTAAACAAAATACTGGTATGACAGATTCATAGCTGGGTATTCTATCTTGTATCTTTTTTTTTTTTTTTGGTCTGCAAATTTCTTCAGTGTGGTCTGGACAAGTTCAGTAAAAATGGGCAGCTCTTTATGAACTGAAAAACATGCTTGAAGTGTTCTATAAACGAACGTTCTCACTACCCTATTTTCAGCAAAATTCAAGAATTTGAATTGTAGTTATCCATGGCTAAGACAGCTGTGCCTTTATTTTTAAGTACTGAACTTGAAGTGAGATGAGGTAAGTTCTGAATTTGTGTAATGTATAGGCAAGTTGTTTCACCTTACTCCATCTTGAAAAAGAATTTGGGTTCATCTATAAAATGGGTATAAGACATACCCTAACTCAAAGGATTACTCTGCAAACCTTAAAGCTGTATAGAATGTGAGCTTAGTTACGGTATCCAACAACTTTTAAGCTTAGAAAATATTCAACACTGGGACTGATAACTTCAAAAGTCCTCTGAATTCTGTAACAATATTTGAATCTGATATTTTAAGAAGTATGCTAGGGGTTACAAAATAGATTAGCTTAAGATACGGGTTTTAAAGGAAATAGTACTATCACCCCTCATGTAAAGAGAATTAGTTTCAAAAAATATGGCAAACTTAGTTCTCTTCTGTACTTATACCACATAGTAGCTGAAACTTTCTGGATGAAGCTCAGAAAGTTTGGTAGGTGAGACATTTTTTCACTGTCACTATTTGGAAAAGTTTAGGTCATCCTGGGGAAACAGGTCTGAGTTGAGGGCCAGCTGGCTAAGAATCATAGATTTGGAGTTAAAATAGATCAGATTAAGTTCAACTTCCTTATTTTACAGAGGACAAAACTGAGGGAGGCTCACAGAAAGGAATGACCCATCCAAGGTCACATGTTACGTAACACAAACGAGCCAGGATGAGCCCAAGTATTATAGTTAAAATCCAGCCCTCTTTCCACATTATCAGACTGCTTCTAAGGCTGTCAGATGACAAAAGCCTCAGAAAAGAGGCTAAAGGTAAGACTGAGTTGAACCGGTCTTCATTACATGATGTTGCATCACTTTGAAGTCTTGCATAAACAGTCAGTTTAGAGACAGTTGCTAATGCAGCATTTTTCTCACTGTTAACACACCCCCAGTATTACCTCTTTAGTTACTTATGAAATAAACTGAAGGTAAATAACTTCATTTTAAGACACTAGTTGGAGTATTCCCTAGGTTTCTGCCACACCAAATACTGCCATAGGTCTCGAAGAGAAAGCATTAAAATTATAACATCTCAGGTAAGATACAGTTGTGACACTGGGAAGTGCTGTTTTACCATGTTGTGGCATCAAAGGTTCAAAAATGGACTATTTTTCTTGCATTGTAAATAAGCAAAGACACTTAGGTCAATTCTATGTAAGGTCCAGTATTAGCCTATTATTTCAAATGGGATGTGTTTATCATTGGAAAAGTAAGAGACAGGTGGTCTGCAAACCAGAACAAATTTTTAATATCATTCCAAGTACACTCAAGTTAAAAAAACAGTTAAAAGGGCAGGTCATTTTTTATTATTAGAACAAAATGGAGGTTCAGTCTAAGAAGACTTGCACCTCATCGCCACAAAAAATTCAGCTCAATAAAGTTTTAAATGGCCAGTAACTTTATCAATTAAATCTGCTGGTCCTGGCCCAATTCCTAGGACAGTCCGAGAGCCTGGTTCTACCTGAGTACGCCCAGCATCTTGGATTAAGCTCACAGTCAGTCCTAGTACTTTGGCATGAGTAAGCAATTCAGCCAGAGACTCTTCATCAGGAGCTTTGACCACCACTTTGGGCTGACCACAGTACTCCCATTGTTTCAGAAGCTCTGGATTTCTCCTTTGTACTTGCTTGTAGGCAGAAACAGCAGCATGAGAACACTGAGCTGCCACTTTTCCCTTCCCCATCTTCAAGTCATTGCGGACCACAATTATCATCTTGAACTCCCCACTTTCTCCCAAGATGCTGGCTTCAGTCTCAGCCTCTGGGCTTTTCTTATTCACTGGGTTTGAACCATTTACTGAGGGGGTCCTGGAGGTCACCCCAAATCGAACTCGGAGGCCCCAGCCCAAACATATGCCACAGGCAACTGCAGCAGCCAGGCTGAGTGTGCCAGAGTGAGCCAAGTAATCCATGCTCACAGACTTGGAAAATATCTAAAGGGAAAGAAATAATAAGTTAACTACTTTAGCAACAAATACTGTAATGAAATATTTTAGATAAACCTATTGATATAATTTCTAACATACTTCTAAGTCTATATCTAAGAATATGCAAAAAAAAAAAAAAAAGGCAAGTTTGTTTCAAGTGCATTTGCCCAAAATTTTTCCTCAGGCCCTAATGCAGACAAGGTGGAACTATTTAGGTAATTAATTTAGACAACTTTGGGTTCTTGGACACAAAAGAAACACTTTTTAATTTGTCTTCCCAATTTTAGTGCTGAGATAAGCCAAAAGGACTGGATATTTCATCAAAATGCCTCCGGGATATAAAAGCTCTCTCTGTTCTTTCAAGAGGTAATTTCACCACTGTGTTAGGATACTATGACACATTTGTGTCACTATTGCATTTTACCTTATCACCATGTCCTGACTATATGTACTCAGTCTTTGCTTAAGAGAGATACAAGGGGGAAAACTTCCCCAAACCAAAAATATAAAAATCTTCCAATGCCCTTAAAGGCAATGCTTTGACTCAGAGGCTGGATTACTGCAACATTCCAGAGGATTTTGGGGATGATCACCTAATCTAGCTTCTTGGTTTTATAGAAGGGGAAATACAAAGGAGGGTGGTGTAATCACTTACTCAGGGTCACTGCTAGTTACCTAATAAGAGATGGAACCAGGATTTGATCCTACATCTGACTCCAAATCCAGGGTTTTTTCCACTATCATGCCTTCCACTGTCAGGCAAGCCAAAAGCAATACCTTATTAGAGTAGGAAGTTCAGAATAATTTAAAAGCAACCTAGCTGTTCTCCAACTTCCTCCCATTTTCTTTGAACCTCAACTCTTGGTTATTCTTCACAAACCTCTAGTACTATCATGCCCACATCTGAACCATTAGCACTATCTCCTTGCATCTAAACAGTTCTCTCAGTAGTTGACATTCAAACTTTACAATTCCTGTGGCTACCTTCACCTCACCAGACTGTAGGAATCCTTCAACTTTGATTACACGTCAGTATATGTCATAGGATTTAAGAGTTGGGAGGTATTTTATGTCATCTAATCCAACCTTTATATATTCCAGATGAAGTTTTTTTTCCTATTAAACATATTTTCATATTAATGATGTTGTAAGTAAGAATTAGAACCAATAGGAGGAACCACCAAAAAGAGGAAACAAAACACAAGAGAAGAAAAAAAAATAGCAAATAGTATGCTTCGATCTGCATTCAAACTCCATAGTTCTTTGTTTGGATGTGGATAGCATTTTCCATCACAAGGCCTTTGGAGAAGTCTTAGATCCTTGTATTGCTGGGAAGGGTTAAGTTTATCAATATTAGTCATCGCACAACGTGACTGTTATTGTGTACAACGTTCTTCCTTCTGAGATTATCTACAGTTTATCCTGTCTATATTTTTTGTTTGTTTGTATGTTTTGTTTGTACGTAGTTGTTTGCATGTCTTCTCCCCCATCAGACTGAGTTTCTCAATGGCAGGAACTGGTTTTTTGTGTTCTTTGTATCCCCAGAATTTAGCAGTGTCTGGCATTTATATAAATGCTTGTTAGCTTGACTTTGATCTTGGAATCCTCCTTTGGATTCCCTTCGTTTTATAATATCTTAATTCTGGGTAGAATGATACAATTTTCAAAGTGCCTTCATCTAACATTATTCAATTCCATAAGCACTCATTAAGCACATACTACAAATAAACAAAGAGAGACATATATACAAATTAAGAGGGAGACAGAGGAAGCTAACAAGAAGGGGGATCAGCAGAGAAAGAACTGATGGAATCTGAATGTAGGTCAAAGCATACTATTTTCAGTTTCTTTGGTTTTTTTTCATGGATTTTTTTCCTTTTGTTCTGTTTCTTCTTTCACAACATGACTAATGTGGAAATACGTTTAACATGATTACACATATAATCTATATCAGATGACTTAGGGAGAAGGAAGAAAAATTTAGAATTCAAAATCTTACTTAAAAATTGAAGGTTGAAAACTATCTTTACATGTAATTGGGAAAAATAAAATACTATTTACATTTTTTAAAAAAGGAGGATCAGGAACGGTTTCCTGTAGGAGGGAGCTAGAGATTCTAGAAGGAGCAAAGGGAGTACATTTTAGGCATGATGCACAGCCTATAGAAAGGCATAGAATTGGAAGATGGAATGCAACATCTGGGGAACAAGTAGGCCAGTTTGGCTGGAATAGAGTGGAGATAATGTAAAATAAATATAAAAAGGAAGACTGTTTCATAAGGAGAAAGCTGAGGAGTTTATATTTTAGCCTTAAGATAATAGGAAGTCAAAGAAGATTCCTGAGAAGGGTAGTATCCTGTTCAGACCTGTGCTTTAGGAAAATTACTTTGATGGCTGTGTGGATGAGGACTAGAGAGGGGAGAGACTAGAAGTCAGTAAGTCAATATGCATCTAGTAAGAGTCTATTATATGCCAAGCACCATGCTAAATACTGGAGATACAAAAGGAGGCAAAAGATAGTTCCCGCCCTCTCCAAGTTCACAATCTAATGGGGGAGACAACAAGCAAACAATTATATACAAACAAAATATATACAGGATAAATAGGAAATAATTAACAGGGGCAAGGCACTAGAATTAAGAAGAGTTGGGAAAGGCTTCCTGTAGAAGATGGGATTTTAGCCGAGTATTGAAGAAAGCCAGGGAAGCCAGAAGGATGAGATGAGGCAGCAAAACATTCCAGGCTTGAGGGACAATCAGAGAAAATGCCCAGAACTGAGAGGTAGAGTGTCTTGTTCGTGGAATAGCAAGGAGGTCAGTGTCAGTAGATAAGAAAAGTATGTGGTGGGGAATAAAATATAATATTAGAAAGGTAGGGGATGGAGGAGGGGAATAACATCATGAAGATCTTTGAACACTAAACAGAACATTTTGTTTGAACACTCCATAGGGAGCCACTAGAGTTTATTGAGTAGTGAAATGGTCAGATATACATTTTAGGAAAATCACTTTAGTGGATGAATAGGGGCTGGACTGAAGTAGGGAAAGAATTGAGGCAGGTAGCCTCACCAGCAGGCGATGATGGCCTGTACCAATAGGTTTTTGCAACAGAGATAGTGAAGCGCCAAGGATGGCACCTAAGTTTCAAGCCTTGGGGACATGGATAATAGTGGTGTCTTCAACAGTAATATGAAAGTTGGAAGGGCTTAGAGGATAACACTATGAATTCAGTTTTGGATATGTTGAGTTTAAGATGTCTACGGGACATCTAAGTCAGGTTGTCTGAAAGGAAGCTGGAGATGTGAGATTGAAGGTCAGCAGTGAGATTAGCAGGATAGGTGGACTGGAGAATCACTGGTATACAGACGGTAATTAAACCCAAGAGAGCTGATGAGATCACAAAGTGAAGTGACAGAGGGAAAACAGAAGAAGGCCCAAAACAGAGCTCTGCAGACACCTATGGTTAGACAGCATACTTTGGATGAGGATCCAGCATAGGAGATTGCGGCAAGATCTGGCAAGTAGGAGAAGGACTAGTAAAGAGTGGTGTCCCAAAAACCTACAGAGAACAGAGTATCAAAGAGAGTGATCAACAGCATCGAAGGTTGCAGAGAGGTTGAAAAGAATGATTGAGAAAAAGCCACTGGATTTGGCAATTGAGAGATCACTGGTAATTCTGGAGAGAGCAATTTCAGTAGAGTGATGAGGTTGGAAGCCAGTTTAAAAGGGGTTAAGGAGAGAACGAGAAGAGAAGCAGTCAAGTCACCTATTGTGAATGGCCTTTTCAGGGAGTTTAGCCACAAAGAGCAGAAGAAATATAGAATGACAATGGGGTAAAAAGGATCATGCAAAGGTTTTTATGAGGACGGGGAAGACATGAGCATGTTTGTAGACAGTAGGAAAGGAGCCAAGAGAGGGAGCAATTGATGATAAATAATAGAGATGACAGGGGAGATGCTGGAGGAGATGGGTTGGAATGGGATGGCTTGTGCAGGTAGAGGGGTTTGCCTTGGTAAGGAGTAAAGCCACCTCTTTGTGAGACGGGTGAGGAGAAGCAGATACTGGCAGAAGTCATCTGAGTGATATGAGATGAAAAACAGAGTAACAGCTCATTGTAAACACTCTCAATTTTTTTCTGTAAAATATCAGGCAATATTCTCATCTGAGAAGCTGGTGGGAGGAGGAACCACAGGAGATCTGAGGAAGGTTAAAAAGGTTTGGAAGAACTGCTGTGGAGAATGGGATAGTGAGTTGATAAGGGAAGTATGAAAGGATTGTGTAGCAGCAGTGAAGGCCTAGAGGTTGTATAACATAAATTTGTAATGGAACCAGTCAGAATGGTTATTTTCTCCCAGTAGCACAAGTATAAGAGTAAAAGTCACAGATGGTGGGAGTTAACCAAGGCTAAGGCTAGGCAGGGTACAACTAGTGATATGACAGAGGGCCAGGGACTCGAGAAGAGGAAGTAGAGTTAAAGTGGTTCATCAAAGGGTCAAGATAGGGAAAAGAAGAGAGTTCAGAGATAATGGCCAGGGAAAGAACTGAGGGGTCCCAGTGGGGATGAAGAATAGGGTTTGGTAAGGGAAGGTAGAGGAAGATGTAGAGAATCAACAGATTAAGGTCAGATAAATGGATTGTGGAATTCTTGAATGTGGAGGTGAAACATTTATGAGTGATGGCAAGATCAAGGGTATACATACATAAAGCCACCTTTATGTATGGCTGAGGAGGAGTGGAGGAGTAAGTCATAGGAAATGAGGAACTAAGTGGTTTGGGTCAGAGTAAATATGTATTGGGAGTCAATATGTACTGGGAAACACCTCCCTGGGTGAGAGGTAATCCTCAAGGGCCTTAACTAGAATGATAGGTATGTAACCGCAAAAAAAAAAAAAAGGATGGATTTGAGAATATTGAGGAGATGGAATCAAAAGACAGCAACAGATTGGATCTGAGGGAAAGAGGAGTTGAGGAAAACTTCAAGGTTATGAACTTGGGTGATAGGATTTGA